GTTGTACCTTAAGTACACTTTTGTTCTTTCCCCTCAGTCTTCAAATTCCATTGGCTGTTGAGGTCATGCAGAGTCACTGCCACTGACAAGGTTCACGCTGGACTGTCAGCTGCAGTAGGACCTGACAGGGCCCAGTGTAGTCCACGGAGCTGGATCTGGTGGAGCATGGGGTGGGCAGCCCGTTTTCTGTTCAGCTGCTTGCTGTCTGCCCAGTGGGACTTCGCACCAGTGCTCTTCCAGGGAAATGGGGAGGAGAGGAGGACAGGATGTCGCATCTCAGACTTTGTCCTTAGTACAGGACAGCGGTCCATGCTGTGTGTCGCAGGTGGCTATCGCCCAGGCTCCTCATTGCGTAAGAGTGGCTGGCCTGGGTCTGGCCACGTGTGGCCTTTTTTGGTGAGGAGCTTTGCTCTATTTTTCATATTTTCTTGGCCAATGTTTTACATCATTGAGATGATGAGTTACTTTCTCATTAGTGTGAGGTTAACAGGCTTATAAGCATACCTGGTATCTTAAAGTCTTTTTGCAAGTTTTTTGTCATGAAAATAAATCAAAATGATGAAGACTGTACTTAATTGTAACCTACTAATCTCTCCCCCACCTGTAACCACCCTCTAACTGTAAAATAGTAAATATACAAATAAAGCAAACTATTTCACAGCAGCAGGCTCTTTGGTATTCATTTTGGACACTAGAGAGAATTTGTTTCTTATACCTGTTCTGTTCATTGCAGGGGACAAGGTAAATGTTAAAATCATTACTGGCCTAGGCCTAGCCGGTGCTCAGTGGTTCGAGCATCGGCCTGTGGACTGAAGGCTCTTGGGTTCAGTTCTATTCAAGGGCATGCAGGCTCGATCGCTGGCGCGGGTCGGGGCTCATGTGGGAGGGAACCAGTCCATGTTTTTCACATCAACGTTCCTGTCCCCCTCCCTTCTACTTTCTCTAAAAATCAATGGAAAAAACATCCTTGGGTGAGGATTAATAAACAAAAATCATTACTGGCCGAGAAGCTTATCCTAAACAGGATTAGGAGGGAGGGGATCAGAAGCTTTTTTTTTTTTTTAATAACTTGAATTGTAATGGCACCATCAATTTTTAAAATACATTTTTATTGATTTCAGAAAAGAAAGAAGGGGGAAAGAGAAATAGAAATATCAATGATGAGAGAATCATTGACTGGCTACCTCCTGCATGACCCCCATTGGAAATGGAGCCCACAGCTGGGCATGTGCTCTGACCCGGAATTGAACTGCAACCTCCTGATTCAGAGGTTGATGTTCAACCACAGCCATGCTGGCTAGGCCAGAGAAGCTTTTTAAATAGCCCAGAGTTTCTGTAAATAGCACCAAGACTCCTTGGAATTGGTAGAATTCTTTTTCACATACATTATACTCTTGAAATTAAAAATGTACTCATTAAGTCCTAGCCAGTTTTGCTCAGTGGATAGAGCATTGGCCTGCAGACTGGAGGGTCCCGGGTTCGATTCTGGTCAAGGGCACATGTCCAGGTGGCAGGCTCGATTCTCAGTAGGGGGCATGCAGGAGGCAGCTGATCAATGATTCTCATCAATGTTTCTTTCCCTCTCCAAAATCAATAAAAATATTTTTTTAAAAAGAATATACTCATTAGATTTTTTTAAAGTACTTTATCAAAACAAAAAAGGAAAAGGCATGTAACTAAAATGATGAAGGACATATGAAGAATTCCAGCAAATTGGTAAAAGGCAACCCAATAGGAAACTAAGCAAGATATGATAAGTTATTTCACAGAAGAGGAAATAATGGCCCCCAAATGATGTTCAACTCATTTGCAATCAAGGAATTTTAAATCGAGACTAAAGAAATAAAATACTATTTTACACCCATTTAAATGGCAAGTCAGGAAGCCTGATAAACCAGTCGCTGGAGAGTTTGTGAGTCTCTTCTCCCTTACAGATGAGTATAAATGGGTGTAGCCGCTTTGGGAATGAACTTGAACATTAAATGTTCCCATACTCCATACCCAGTGGTTCTCCTCCAGGTATATATCCAAGAGAACATTCATAGCGGCAAAACCTCTATTTAGATAATGGAATGTTGTACAGAAGTCTCCTTAAAGGAATGAATGGTATCCACTCGCAGCAACGTGGATGAGCCACGGTCATGGTAACAGAAAGTTTGTCCCAAATGCTTACAGACAGCATGACACTTATATGTAAGATGAACTTTCGAAATAACATGACAAAACCAGTTTGTATAAAGGTATTTAGGTAGGGTGAGGCAGAAGAATGGAATGTTCTAGGTCCCATTGGGTAGTGAGTTAATTATCAGAGAGAACTGACAGGATCGGGGGTGGGAGTAATGCTCATTTGTACGTTGGGAGTTGGGGGTGGCAAGACAACTTCATGGTGGGCTCCAGGGCCTTCTAGGATGTTGTATGTACTTCTTAAGGTACATTTTTTCTGACGAGAATCCATAGCTTTCCATTCACTTTTAGGATATGTGTGACCCCAGGATATTCACATCCTTAGACCGTTCAGAGTCCTTAGAGCTGTTGCATTACTACCTAGGCATTTTGCTTCTATAACAAGTGTGCACACAACTGAATCAGCGGTGAACTGGAAAGCTAAATAGCCCTGTTTGGAGTGATGAGAAAGTTTTGGAAATAGTTATGGTTGTACAATATTTTGAGTATAATTAATGCCACTGACTCGCACAGTTAAAATGGTAAATTTTATGTTATATACTAGAGACCCGATGCACGAAATTCATGCAAGAGTAGGCCTTCCTTCCCCCGGCTGCTGGCACTGGCTTCCTTCCGGCACCTGGGACCCGGGCTTCTCTCTGGCCGCCAGCAGGCACCCGAGACCCGGGCTTCCCTCGCAGCCCCGGCTTTGTCCAGAAGGTCGTCTGGTCTAATTAGCATATTATACTTTTATTATTATAGATGATGCAATATACCAAAGCCCATCGAACTGTAAAAAACAAAACAAAGTGCACTAGAATTTATACAACTGGGCATGAATTGTCTAGTTTTTTAAAGTTTATTTTCTAATTCACAAGTGAATGGTTTATAAATATAATAGAACTTTGGAGAAATTTGACAAGTGCCTAGAAAGGGGGCAAGATCCTCCCACTCAGGTCCAAAAAGGGTCTTTGGGCTGACAGGCCCGTTTTTATGCTGGAAGATGGGCTCAGAGAGGGTCCAATAGAGCTCCTGGTCACATTGGTTGGACCTGGAGATTTTGCCAGTGGTCAGAGGTTACTTCTCCAGGACCTGCCATTACTAAGGCCCAAGCCGAGACAGAAGTCGGGAATGTAAAACAGAACTCTGTTCCTATTAGATGTGTTGGAGCTTCTGACCATCTCTGCAGGCAGGAAACCCCGGGGAGGCACATGGTCCAGGGATAGACAGAAGCCTATCAGGTTTACCCACATGTGTGAGGAGGGGCCAGGCAGGCAGCCCAGGGAGGAGAGCTGCTGGCTTTTACCCACTGATGTCCCTGCGCTCAGGTGGTGGAAAGATAACGGGCTCTGGACACTTTAGGGGTCTGGATTCAAATCCAGTCAGTCTCTGAGGCAACGTGTTCTCACCTGTGTAAGAAACATTCAGCCAGCAAAAGTGACCATGGAGATTAAATGTAGCCCGGCTGGCATGGCTCAGTGGTTGAGCATCGACCTATGAACCAGGAGGTCACAGTTTGATTCCTGGTCAGGGCACATGTCCCGGTTGTGGTCTCAGTCCCCAGTCGGGGGAGTGCAGGAGGCAGTCGACCAATGATTCTCTCTCATCACTGATGTTTCTATTTCCCTCTCCCTTCCTCTCTGAAATCAATAAAAAAATATATATTTTTTAAATGTAGCCAACACCCTCATGAAATAAGGGCATGTGGTGGTAGTGATTGCCCTGGCACAGGTTTGGGAGTCAGATGAGGTTAGTTTCAGTCCTAGTCCCACCACGTACATCAGCGATTCTCAACCTGGGGGTCAAACGACCTTTCACAGGGGTCGCCTAAGACCACCAGAAAACACATATATAATTACATATTGTTTTGTGATTAATCACTATGCTTTCATTATGTTCAATTTGTAACAATGAAAATACATCCTTTATATCAGATATTTACATTACGATTCATAACAGTAGCAACATTACAGTTATGAAGTAGCAACGAAAATAATTTTATGGTTGGGTCACAACATGAGGAACTGTATTAAAGGGTCACGGCATTAGGAAGGTTGAGAACCACTGACGTACAGGGATGGGGACAAGCTCCTGGCAGTGAGGGTGCAGGGCGTCTCCCAAAATGAGCTCTAGTCTGTGCACCCCCCTTCTCTCCCACGGGGTGGCAGCAGCGGGCCCAGCCCTCAGTTTCTGTTTCGGTTCTGGCTGAGCCTCTTCTGCACTTGGCCCCTTGCCAGCCTTGGCTGGACCTGGCCTGCAGGAGGTCTTGGCCACCCCTACTAGGGCCACAAGAGACACCCAGTCCCGGCCTAGAGCGGGGACACCAGGCTCTGAAGTGCCAGACTGATGGGGTGCTGGGGACCCTCGGGGGCTTCCCTGTGACCTCTGGCAGTTGGGGTGCCACTAATCGTTCCATGGCTTTGGGCAAGTTACTAATGACCTGCACCATGAACACTGGAGCCAATCTCTCCCAGTGAGCGCTGCCTTCCAGACCTCCCCCCACCCCTTCCACAGCGGAGCGAAGGGCTGGTCCCCGGGGGCTGTGGTCGCACTGCCAGTGCTCTCACCCTGCTCGGCTCTCTCCCTGCCTCCTCTGCAAAACCGGGGTGATGAGATGTGGCTCCCAGCACAGGAGAAGCCGGGGTTGTCCTCCTGTCCTTCCGCGTGGCTGCCTCTCCCGCTCCCTCTAATGCCTGTGGCTGTCCGTTCCTGTCAGCTGCCTTGTCTCCAGCCGTTTGTTCTGTCTTCTCTTTCCACCCATGTCTCATGTTGTGTGTGTGTGTGTGTGTGTGTGTGTGTGTGTGTGTGTCTGAGTGTGTGTGTGTGTGTGTGTGAGAGTGAGTGTGTGTGAGTGTGTGTGAGTGTGTGTCTGAGTGTGTGTGTGTGTGTGTGTGTGTGTGAGTATATGTGTGTGCGTGTACTGCACACCTCATTTTTGGACTCTTGCTCCCTGAGTGAGTGGCTCTGGCTCTCGCTCTGCATCTCTGACAATCGGTCTCTCTCTCTGGCTCTCTGTCTTCCTGTGTCTCCCTCTCCCTCTGGGTCTGAGACTCTTGGTTGATCGCGCGCTCAGTCCCTGCCTGTCTCTCTCTGTCCCTCTCTGTGTCTCTGTATGTAGTGCGTGTGCGTCCCTTTCTCATTCTCTTCCTGCCTGTTTATCTTCTTCTCTGTCTCTCTCTCCGCGATTCTGCCTCTGAGTTTGTGTGCGTGTTTTGGTGTTAGTGTGCATTTGTGTTCTTTAGCGTGTACTTCTCCACGTCTTCCTACTGTCGCTGCCTGTGTGTGTGTCCGTGTGTGCACTTCCATTTCATTCTTCCTCCCTGCCCCTCTGCGTATCTTACTCTCTGTGTGACTTGTGTTTACACGTGTGTGCTTAGCGTGTGTGTCCATAGCTTTCTGTTCTCTCTCTCTCTCTCTCTCTCTCTCTCTCTCTCTCTCTCTCTCTCTCTCTCTCTCTCTCTCTCTCTCTCTCTCTCGTGCATGAGTCTCTCTGTTCACACCAGAGCCTGTCCGGCAGGGCAGCGGATGTGTGAGGGATGATTCAGTGGCTGACAGGAAGCCTGCCGCCTTGCTTGCTGCCCACAAGTATCTGTGGTGTTGGCGTCAGCTCCTGCAGGTGTGTGGGCTCAAGATGAGGTGGCCGCAGTGAAGAGCCCTCAACTCTCAGGTAAGCCTTTCCCGGAGCACCTGGAGCCTGGCCCTGGGGGCAGGGGTCGGGAGGCTGCCCCCGACCTCCGACACCGTGGGGGTTGGAGTGGTCTCTCCTGAGCCCTTGGCGGCCTGCTGGGGGAAGTGGGAAGAGGTCGGGATGCCGGACACCCCTTCCTTTGGCCCCACTCCTGCCCTGGTGGCCCTGACTAGGGAGCCCTTCCCCCTGGACCCTGCGGCACTCAGAGAGGCAGTCTGGTTCTGGGCCTTCAGCCACTTCCCTGCCCTCACCTTTCCCAGCCGGGACTGCAGTCTTAGGAGGCCTCCAGGGTGGGCCCCTCACTTCCAGAGACCGTGAGGGGCCAGGACAGTGGCCCCCGGTCCATGCCCATGAGCTTAGGTTTCTTCATCTATAAAATGGAACTGTGATATCTCAGACACGGGGCTACGCATGGGAGAACGGTGAGACTCTACAGGCAAGCGTGCCTAGGTCCTGCCCCAGGCCAGACGGAGGCATCTGTCCCTGCCCTCCCACCCAGGCCCCAGCCCGGCCGGCCAGCTTCCTGCTGGGGTCTGACATGTAAGCCCTGGAGAGCTCCCTGTGCCCAACTCTGTCAACAGGTGGCCCTGGCCTTCGCCACCCTCCACTCCTGCCCTGGGACAAGGGCTGCCCAGGCCCTGCACCAGTCACCTGAGCACTGAGAGCCTCTGTTAGAAGCCCCTGGGACGGCCTCATCTGAAGGCCAAGTTACTGGGGAAACGAAACAGACCCCAGAGCAGAGCCCAGTGGCTAAAGCCTTTTGGGGGCTGAGACCAGGGCCTCTCTCTCCACCCCCAGCCTGCCCTGCAGCCCTGGTGGGCCTCGGTCCCCCCATCGGCAGCATGACAGGTGCCGGGGAATGGGCAGGATCACCTCCCAGGGCCTCTCTGGCGGGAGGCTCAGACGCGAGGCCCACACCGCCAGCACTGAGGGCTTTCCCACACAGCTTGTTGCAAACCTTGTTCATATGAAAACTGCCCACTTCCCTTTGCGCTATTTTGGCCTGCAGAGCCATGGGCTGTAACAGCCGCCCTCCCACCCCACCCAGCCCTGCGTGGCTTCTTGGGGCCTCTCTCCCCCCACCTTCCCTGCCCCATCTGCTCTCAGAACATGGGTGGGAAGTGACGAGAGAGGGCATAGGAGTTTTACTCAAATTAGTCTATTTTTAAAATGTATTTCATGATTCTTAAAAATATAAGAAAAAGGTAAAGGAGCGTGGCCTTCATAGGCAGCGTGCCCCGGGCTTTGGTCCTGCTGCCGTGACTGGCCAGCTGTGTGAGCTTCCCTCTGGGCCCGGTGTCTCCGCGTGATGCTGTGGGTGTCTGTGCCAGCTAGCTGAGGGGCTGGGGCAAGAGCCGTGCTCTCTTCCCCTCCCAGCCCCTCTCAGGTCCCAGCACAAGGCCCACGTCAGGCAGGGGAGGGAGGCTCGTGCCTGCCTGTGTGGGGAGCAGGCAGAGAAGGCTCTGGAGAGACCTGCTCCCAGACCCAAAGGCAGCTCTGGCCCCAACAGGCGGCAGCTGCCCCTGCCCCGGGAGCCAGGTGATGGCCAGTCATGACAGTCACGGCCAGCTGTGCCCCACCTGCCCCAGCACCTTCCATGCCTCATCTCGATGCCAGGTCTCATGTGACAAACCCAGGAAGAGTGTCATTCTTCCCCCACTTAACAAAGGGGCAACCAAAGGCCCGGGACACTGGGATTCAATTTTTGTTCCTGGCAGAATTCGCATTCTCCTCCCCAGCCTCCCCCAGTGCCAGGGGGTGGAGATGGACCAGGGCCACCCCTGAGGGTGCTTCACCTCCAGAAGCAAAAGGGCTCTCTGATAGTCAGGGTCCTCTGGGGTGGAGGCCACCCTTCCCCAGAGGTCAGCAGGTCATGTCCCAGGGCTCCACGTGCCAGCTCACGTCTGGAGTCTTAAACAGCCCCTGGGGGTGGCCGGTGGTGGACTCATGTCCCAGCTCTCGCAGGGGGCATGTGTGCGACCCAGCCATGTGTCTGTGCCCAAATCTCCTTTCGGGACAGAAAGAGTCACGGTGCTAACCAAAGGACAACGTTATCGAGGATCCGGAGCCTGAGAGAGCTGTCCAAACTAGCCGGCCAGAAATAAGACCCTCCATGCGTTTCTCTTAAGGAAACCCCGTGAGCCTGGCTGGATGTGATTGACCCCCATTTTACAGATGAGAAAACTGAGGCCAAGAGATACTGAGGCACAGACAGAAGTTGACCCCAGGAGGCCTCCCTCTAAGGCAGGTGTTCCCAACTTCCAACAGCCCGAGGGGACTCAGGAGGCAGGGCAAGCTGTGCAGACCAGGAGGGCAGTGCCCAGCCCCTGAGAGGAGGGGAGCGGATCCCCTCAAACAGCATCGGGTGTGACAGGGGCCAGTCCTTCTCCCCACCTGGAGGCTGCTCTGTGGCGAGATTTGGGAATTCCCGTGTTCCCACTGACTCACTTGAAATTCCACGTCTGGGGAAGGAGAGGTGGCTTCTCTGGGACGGGCCCCTGATGAGGCTCCGCACTGCGTGGAGCTGTCCTGTTGGCTTTGCCCCAGATTCGGGAGCTCAAAGAAGTGAGGGGACAGCCAGGGGCACACAGGCCTCAGGGGAGCCCGAAGCAGAAGGTGGGTCCGTCTTCTCCCTAAGCCTCAACCCCCCACCCCAGCTGTAAAGAGGGGGAAGCCCTCCTCCCAGGTGCCTGATGCAGGATGCACAGGTGTGCACAGAATGGGCGCTCAGTGTGGAGGCTCCGTGCACCTGGGGCACCGGCCCCTCAGACAGCCCCTGCTGCCCTCAGCTGTGTCCCGGCTATTTCGAGATGGCTGAGTCTCTTGATAGTTTCAATGATTCTCCTTGGAAACCCCCTCAAGGGGGCTGAACTTGCCTTCACCAGACCCTGGTGTGCAGATTTGATCACCAAGATCAGACAATCAGAGTGTGGCCCTGAGGTGGCTGGGACCAGCCACTAAGATAGCAGCCAGCAGGCAGGGATTCAGGGCCTCCTTGCCCTGTAGCCTCTCTCCTCCAGCCCCACATCCCACCACTAGCCACCATGGGCCATACACCAGGTCTCTCTGAGTTCGCTTCTCCCAAGCTCGTCAGCCCACCTCCTCCAAGAAGCCTTCCTTGATCTCCCTCCTCCCAGCTCCCAGGGCAGGAGGAATCTGGGTGCATGGATTTTTAATGAATGGAAATCGTGCCCCCAGCTCCTCCGGGAGGCCATGAATGGGGTGGAGAAGTGCCCATGGTTGGGTGAGGGCTGCTGGGAGGTCCCATGCAGAAGGGTCCACAGACTCTGGGCTTGGGGAGTAAAGCTGGACTTATAGGAGGGAGGGGATGCAGTGGGCAAAGCCAGAGTTAGGGTCTGGATGCTGGAACTTGAATCCTGTCTTTCCACTTAGCACAGTGGTTCTCAACCTTCTGGCCCTTTAAATACAGTTCCTCATGTTGTGACCCAACCATAAAATTATTTTCGTTGCTACTTCATAACTGTAATGTTGCTACTGTTACGAATCGTCATGTAAATATATGATATGCAGGATAGTCTTAGGCGACCCCTGTGAAAGGATCGTTCGACCGCCAAAGGGGTCGCGACCCACAGGTTGAGAACCGCTGACGTAGCGATTGGGAGATGTCTGGCCTCCGTTTCTTTATCTGTGAAATGGAGCAAGCCCCTCCCTCAAAGGGCAATTGTGTGGATTAAGCGAGGGTGTATGCAGGAGTGTGGATACGCACATGGTGCTGCCTAGTGGGTCCCCAGAACCTTCCAGCACTTACCATGTGTTGATGCTGGCCTTGGGGGGTCACGAGTCCAGGTCTGGGGTCAGACGGAGGAATAGGTGTGGTCCTGCCCTGGCCCTCCAGCAGGGTGGGAAGAGTGCTCCACAGCCTAGACTCAGCTGTGAGGCTGGCAGGGGCCAGTGGGGGTAAGAAGCCTGAGAGTGTGGGGCTGGTCGGGCTCCTGAAGGGGTAGCCCCCTCGCCCTCCCACCCTGGTTCACGTGGCAGCGTTGCAGGAAAGGTGCACCGGAGCCGACATGAGTGCGGAGACGGAGCTGCTGTGGCCCGGGGTGGCCCTCCTGCTGCTGCTGGGGGCGGTGGCCAGCCTGTGTGTTCGCTGCTCCCGCTCAGGTAAAGGCGGGATTATGACGGGGCGGGGTTGGAGTATGATGGGGAGGGCCTGGGGAGGGGAGCTCATGGGCACAATGGAGGAGAGGACAGTCTACCCAGCAACTCTCACAGGCCAGGCCTGGCTGTGTTTGGGAGAGGCAGTCAGATAAGCCTCACAGGATGGGGGTGACTCCCCCAAAGGCTGGCCCCAAACTGCACCTGAACACCCTCAGTCTGGTTCACTGGGGGGCTTTGGGTTTGCTGGGTCAAGGGGCATGTCTGGGGCAGGGGTTTGCTCTGGACAAGGGAGGAAAGGCTGGGCTGGCTGCCTGCCTGGGGCGTCCACCTTGTCTATGCTCCGTTCTGCTAAATAAGTAGTGAGAGACACCATGTCCATGTCCGGTGGCCCTCAGTGATCGGAAGGCCCCCGTGTCCTGTCCTAGGACAGGGCACAGGCAGGCAGGATGAGGGGGCCTTGGGTGTCAGTTCCACCCTGACTCTGGATGCTTGCTAATCCGGTCCCGTTTTTGCAGGTGCGAAGCGACCGGAGAAAATTTATGAGCAGAGGAACCTGTGAGTGCCTCAGTGTCCCCGGCCCAGTGACTGTGTGCCTGGGTGTGGGCAGCCCCTTTCCTCACACCTCCTCCAGGCTGGGCTCCAGTGGGTCCCGAGCAGCCAGGGAAGGAGAGGGGGCACCCAGGGCTGCCCAGGCCCTGCCCCAACCCAGTCAGGGCCTCAGGAGGAGGGGCTGCCACGTCCCCGCTGGCCCAAGAGCATCTGCAGAGACCCCCCGTGAACCCAGCCCAGGGCAGCCTGCTGTGCGGGTGGGGGTGGGTGTCCACGGAGGAATTCGGCCTCTTGGTGCCATGAGGGGCTGGGGGTGTGGGGCAGACACTGGGCACAGAGCAAAATGTGAGCTGTGTCTACATCTCCCTTGGAAAATGCTAAAGGAGCCAGGGAGGATGTGGGCATGTGCCTGGGGGATTAAGGAAGGCCTGATAGAGGAGGTGGGAAAGATTTTTTTTTCTTTTTGTAATTTAAATCTTCATTTATTTAGATTGATTTTTTTACATTCTTTTTTTAAAAATCTTTAAATTCTTTATTAGTTAAGGAATTACAAATGTGTCCTCATCCCCCCCCATTAACCCCCATCCTCCCCCCCCCCCCCCCCACCACCACTCATGCTCTCATCCCCCTGTTGTCCATGTCCATGGGTTAGGCCTATATGCATGCATACAAGTCCTTTGGTTGATCTCTCCCCCTTACCCCCACCCTCCCCTACCTTCCCTCTGGGGATTAATAGTCTGATTGCTGTTTCTCTGTCTTTGGATCTGTCCTTGTTCATCAGTCTATGTTGTTCTCTATATTCCACAAATGAGTGAGATCATGTGGTATTTATCTTTCTCTGACTGGCTTATTTCACTTAGCATAATGCTCTCCAGTTCCATCAAAGCTGTTGCAGAAGGCAATAGTTCCTTCTTTTTTATCGCAGCGTAGTATTCCATTGTGTAGATGTACCACAGGTTTTTTTATTATTATTATTAGTTAAGGTATTACAAATGTGTCCTCATCCCCCCCATTAACCCCTAACCGCCCCCCCCCCCCTCATCTGCTGATGGGCACTTAGGCTGTTTCCAGATCTTAGCTATGGTGAATTGTGCTGCTATGAACATAGGGATGCATATATCCTTGCTGATTGGTGTTTCTGGCTTCTTGGGATATATTCCTAGAAGTGGGATCACTGGGTCAAATGGGAGTTCCATTTTTAGTTTTTTGAGGAAGCTCCATACTTTTCTCCACAGTGGCTGCACCAGTCTGCATTCGGTGGGAAAGATTTTAAGAGAAAAAGAGGCCAAAGGGGATATTCTAGAGGGAGAGAGAACAGTGTGGGCAGTCGCTGACAGAGGACCGGGTGGCAGGTACCGTGTGTCTCGGGGAAAATGAGCTGGATGAGGCCTTGACTGTGGGAGAGGCCTTGGCCTTCGTTCTAAGGACCAAGGGGCCACAGAAGAGCTGGAAGCAGGGGTTCCTGTGTAGCAGGAAGGAGGGAGGTGGGGCAGAGATGCAATGGGGTCAGTGAGCCCAGCGGAGTGGTGGGGTTGGGAGATGGAGCTCCAGGCACTTGGAGGGCAGGTGGGCAGCTCTGTGAGTGCTGGGAGGGTCAGCTGTGCCAGACCTTGCAAACCAGGGGGCCACCCTCGGACAGCCCCAGGCAGGGGAAAGCGGCCATTGGCATCCTGACATTGAGCAGGCGGGTGACGTGATGGAGGGCCTGCGCATGAACGCCCACGCACACCCCCACGCTCCCTGCACACTTGCTCAGGCGTGCACTTCTCACACATGCAGCACTGTATGCACACTCGGGTGGCTACTCACGCACAGATGGGCACACACGCCCTTTCTCATTTCCTTTTGCAACTGAAAAACCACAATGAAATTTGAAAATAGAATTTCCCCGTCCAGGCCCACCCCGGGGGCAGGACTGGATCTCTCCAGGCATCTTTGGCCGCTTGGCTGTCTAGATCGCTAGCCCACAGCCTCCACCAGGAGTGGGCTGGGCTGCCTGGTGCCCCTACGCTCCTGCCCCCAGGCAGGCCTCCTCAGAATCTCCCCTCTCCGCTCCCCCCACCCCGCAGCCCCTGCCCACTCAAGGCCCCTAACTGATCTTAGAACTGTAGACTAAACCTCCTCGTGTAGGGGTGGGGAAATGGTGGGAGGAGGTGGGAGGAGAGCTTGGGTTTCCCCACCGCACTGGGGTTCAGTCCTGCCAGCCTACGTGTGCCAGGCCCAGCTCCTGTATCACTTCCTCCAGGAAGCCATGCCTGGTTCTCTCCTGTGGATTTGGATAGAGCATCCTCCCTAAATCACGTCACCCCGACCCCCAGCACCCCAGGAGCTCCTAGAAGGCTGGGCTGGGCACCCATGTTAATCCAGGGGAGACCCCAAAATGCTTTAATGATTAGCTGTTCTGTTCACCATCCTTCGTGGTAGCTTCCATTCTCAAAGGCACTTCATGGTCCAAAATGGCAGCGAGGGCTCCAGCCCTTATCTCTGCATCCAGGTCGTAGTTAGAATGAAGGAGAAGGACAAAAAGGCTGTGCCCAGTTGTCAGTGAGTCCTTTAAGGAGCTTTCCTGGAACTCCCAACAACCGTGGCTTGCATTTCACTGACCAGAGCTTTATCACATGGCCACAAGTAGGTGCAAGGGAGGCCGTGATATACAGTCTTTTAGGTGGGCCTGCTGCTGGCTACACAAAAGTCAGGGTTGTGCTTCAAAGGAAGAAGGGACACTGGACAATGACTAGATGCCTGCCTCCTGGCCATCTCTGGGGGTTCCTGGGTACCCCATGTTGAGAAATGGGTCTTTCTGGCAGCTGGCTCTAGGCCAGGGCCATGCGAAAAGGGTGGGCACCCAGTGGGCAGGGCTCTGGCTCTGAGACCTGGAGGGGTGGCAGGCAGCTCCTTCTCCTCACCCTTGTCCTACTATGTGCCTCCTCTCTGTTCCTTGTCCCCCTCTGTCCATCTCTCCTGTCTCTCTGCCCCTTGGGCTGTGGGGGCCAGGCCCTAGCTCAAAACAGTCCCTGTGTTTCCAGGCAAGAGAATCAACAGAGCTTTGCAGTGACCGGGACCTATTCCTGTGAGTCCCAAACAGAAGGGTCCAGGGGCTGGGCTCAGGGATGGGGGGGAGGGAGGGCATGTCAAACTCCCTTCGTCCTGAAGGGGTGGCCATGCCCGATCTGGTAGGGTGAAGGGGTGAGGGAGCTACACTGGAAAACTGGCCTTGGGGTCCAGCTAACACCCCCTCATCCTTTGCAGTGGCCAGGCCCCTGATGGACACAGCCTCTGACTTGGCACCAACAAGGTAGGAATGAGCCCCTTGGCCTGGACCCAGAGGGGTCACAGCCCCCACAGGAAGTGATGAGGAGGACGCTGGGCTCCCCACCTGGCTGAGCCCAGGCCAAGACCTTACTTCCTCCTCAGACCTCAGAGTTCTAGTGCCTGACAGAGAAGGGCCTCCCTCCATCCAGCAGGCTGGAGGGCTGTGGCCTTCAAATCCCCCAAAACCCTAGAGCAGTGGTTCTCAACCTTCTGGCCCTTTAAATACAGTTCCTCATGTTGTGACCCAACCATCAAATTATTTTCGTTGCTACTTCATAACTGTAATGTTGCTACTGTGATGAATCGTAGTGTAAATATCTGATATGCAGGATGGTCTTAGGCGACCCCTGTGAAAGGGCCGTTCGACCGCCAAAGGGGTCGCGACCCACAGGTTGAGAACGGCTGCCTTAGAGCCATCCCCCTCCCACCTCCAGCCCCCGTGGCTCCTCCTCAGCCCCTCCCTCAGTCCTTGCCTCACTGCACCCCTCCCTTGCAGGAAGGATAAGCTGCTGCAGTTCTCCCCCAGCCTCGAGGGTGAGTGAGCCTCATACACAGGTGTGGGGCAGGGGTGAGTGGGACTGAGACAGGTGACTACCTGGTGGGACAGGTACTGTGCACATGTGTAGGGGAGGTGTGGGGGAGGGGAGGCAGGGCAGCCAGGCCTGACAGGGAGGCCTTTGCAGGAGACAGATACGCCAGGCTGGGCGGCCTGAGGGCATTGGCCTAGTGGGGGAGGGGAAGGAGCAGGTGCAAAGGTGTGAAGGTAAGAAACCCTTGGCCTTCCTTCCAGATTCTGCATCACCAAGGTACCTGAACTTCAGCAAAGGTAGGTGGGCTCCGGGGGTTGGGGCTGCAGTGGGGGCCACCTCCAGGAGCCTGGGCCTAATTCCGCCTCCTCCTGCAGGAAGCAGACACGGATCAGATGCATCCTACATGTGAGTGGCCTTCTCCCAGCCCTGCCTGGACTCCCGTACTCAGGAAGGCCTCCTGCCCTCGGACCCCCAGCCAGGCGCAGGCAGGCGCTCAGTAGCATTGTTCCCCTTCAGGTGGCTCGGAGGGTGTGGGGACAGTGGCAGGGACATGGGGACATGGTCCTGCTCAGAAGGGCCTGTGTGGAGGGACCATCCCGCATCACCCAGTCAGACACCTCACAGGGGCACCTGGAGCTGCTGAGAGGAAGGGCCCTCAGACAGCTCCTCTCTCAGATGGGCAGGCTGAGGCCCAGGGCAGGTGGAGACTTGTCTGGGTCACATGGCAAGGCGGCTAGTGCCAGGCTGTCTCCCCCTCAGCCCCAGGATGGCTCCGGGGTCCAGGGAAGTGGGATGGGGGATGGGGGAGACCCTGGCCCAGCCCCCATGGGCCCCTGGGGGAGTGATGGCTGGAGCAGTCCTTGCCTCACTGCACCCATGAAGCTCCCCCGCCACGCCCCCCCCCCCCCCCCCCCGGCAACACGGGCCTGCCCAGCCACTGGTGTTGTGTTTGTGTTTTCTTGCCAGAGACCCCATCATGGAGTATTTCAACTGGGAGCGGTCCCAGAAGCAGCAGGAAGGTGAGGCAGAGAGGAAGGAGGGGCATAGGGAGGAGACGCATGGTGGGATCGAGGCATTTGGGAGGACTTGGAGGAGGAGCCTGAGCCTTGGTTTGGATCGATTGGGGAGTGAGGGGCAGATGAGGGAGCTGGCACCTCGGGCAGGAGCCCAGGTGCAGAGGAGAGAAGAGATGTGTGGGAGTCAGGGGTGGGCCACAGGGGCAAGCAAGAGAGGGATTGCTGGGTCCCTCGTCATCCAGGTCCCATCCCGGGCTGGGCACATATGGGGCCTCAGAGGAAGGCCCAGGATGGGGCAGACTGGCTGACGGATGCTGCAACTCTAGGCCCTCAACACCCTTGCTTTACAGAAAGAGAAACTGAGGACCGAGGGCAGGCAGTGCTCCTGCCCGGGCCATGCTGGGGTGGGGAGTGAGGCACCACTGGGCAGGGAGTGGGTCCTCTTCATCCCCCTGCAGCTTCCAAATTGGGGTGGGGCCTCGTTTCTCAGAGCCCTTCTGATGTAAATGGATGGTGGGTGAGTTGTTAGAGCTCAGCTTCCAGTTGGGGGGGCAGGGGGCAGGCTCTGTATGCCACACGCAGCCTAAGCCCCTGGACAAAGACCCCACTGAAGGGTCTGCTTCCAGGTAAGCTTCGACCTGGCTGCTGTCTCTCCTGGGCCCCCAGTGGCTCTCACTGCCTGATAGAGATGGGCCTCCCTCCATCCAAATATCCATCCTGGGCCTGAATGCAGCCCATCCCCTGACCTCCCCTCCCCAGTGCATTCAGGGGTAAACTTGGAGAACAGAGAAGGAGCTCAGAGTGGCAGCTGCTGAGCCAGACCAGTGCGCATTAAGAAGCTTGTCCAAGAAAATGTTCGAGGCCCTGGGGGACCCAGAAGACGGGGGGCTTAGCAGGACAGGTCATCTGCCACAGGAGGGGGGGGGGGCAAAAGGAGAGAGGAAAAGCCAGGCTTGATGGACAGGGCCCACTATAATGAAGTCCTCTCCCCTCTCCCCTCTCCCCTCTCCTCTCTCCTCTGTCCCCTGTCCCCTGTCTCCTGTCCCTTCTCCCCTCTCCCCTCTCCCCTCTCCCCTCTCCCCCCTCCCCTCTCTCCTCTCCCCTCTTCCCTCTCCCCTGTCCCCTCTTCCCTCTTCCCTGTCCCCTCTCCCCTCTCCCCTACCCCCTCTCCCTTCTCTCCTCTCCCCTCTCCCCTCTCCCCTCTCCTCTCTCCTCTGTCCCCTGTCCCCTGTCTCCTGTCCCTTCTCCCCTCCCCTCTCCCCTCTCCCCTCTCCCCTCTCCCATCTCCCCTCTCCCCTCTCCCCTCTCCCTTCTCTGCAGCAGATGACGAGGATGCTAATTCCTACGAGAACGTGCTCATCTGCAAGCAGAAAGAGCCCGACTCAGGTGAGGCTACCAGCCCGGAGCTGGGCAGGGACTGGTGAGATCTGAAGTTCCCACAGAGGCATAGCCCTCCTTGAAACCTGAAAGTTCACGGACACCTCAATGGCTTTGGGTCAAGCACTGCCCCCTGTCCTGGGAGGAGGCCCCATCATCCTGGGCCTCAGTGGGCATGCTCTATTGGGGAGCCCTTCCAACCCGAGGGGCTGCCCACACAGGGGCACGAGAGGCCTCTCTGGAGGGGCCGTGGCACCTCGATGGCCTGAGGACCAGTCATGGTGGCTTCCCCTTCCTCCCTGCAGGCCCTCTCCCCGGTTCTCTCCCTGCAGGCGATGAGGATTATCAGAACTCTGCTTCCATCCAGAAGTGGCGGGAGTCCAGAAAGGTCGTAGGTATGTGGCCAGAGCAGGGGCTCCTGAGTGGACAGCTTCAGCGGGCTCAGGGGGGCCTGGCCGGGGAGGATGGGGGGAAGGGTAGTGGGAGTTAGGGGGGCCTGGCCAGGGAGGATGGGGCGAAGGGTAGTGGGAGTCAGGGGGGCCTGGCCAGGGGGTCTGGCCTGAGAGGGCCAGGCTGGGGGGCGGGGTACTCCCTTGCAGGTCAGCTAATTTCAGAGAAGCTGAAGGCGGCAGCACATTGGCGGCTGCACTGGCCTTAGCCACGGCCTCCTGAGGTCGGGGCCTCCTGCGCAGACTGCCTTCACCTGCGTGGATGGAGCCCCACTGACCCTGCTTCCCGGGCAGACAAATCCCAGAACCAGGACAGACACTCGTCCAGGGCAGCCTTTCCTTCAGGCTGCGTGTGGCTTCGGGGGGGCTCAAGCCCTGGGTGGGCGTTCTGGCTCCAGGAACAGGTCTGGGTGTGCCCATGTGAACCACTGACAGTTCGCCTGCCGGTCCACAGGGCAAGTCCCAAGAGAAGCACCTCTCTCCCCTGCTGGAATCCCCGATGAGGATGAAGATGGAGAGCCCGATTATGTAAATGGGGACGTGGCTGCCACGGAAGCCTAGGGCAGACCTGGGAGAAGGTACAGCTGCCCTGGTGCAGGGTGGTGGCCTCACTGGCCAGAGGGCCCCATCCCCTGGGAAAAGGTGGGAGCTCGGGCTGGAGGAGCCGTGGTGAGGGCCAAGGGGTAGCACCCATGGGTGCAGAAATGGGGTGGCTCTGCAGGGTGCTGGGCCTCCTGAGCAGTCCCCGCCCACCCTGCCCCTGACTCCCAAGGCAGGCTTGGTGAGGTGAGATTCACGGCAAGCACGAGGTTGTCAGGCAGGGAAGGTGGTGAGTTGTTGGGTGAAGTGGGCTCTGGGTGGGTCCCTGCAACCTTGGGGCAGTGACAGCCTCCCCAGGTCTGCGTCCTCACTTGCAAAACGGAGCCGGTGGGACCTGTGTCTTAGACAAGACACTGCACATAGAGCATGAGCTCAGTGGGGCTGGGCCAGTGTTGGCCTCAGGGGCACAGGGCAGGGCTGGGAGATGATGGCGCTGACGGCAGTAGTGGCTGAACTGTGTTAAGCAGCCACTTTGCCGGCCAGCACGGAGTCAAGTGCTCACACACACACCATCACTTGTCACCTCAAAGGCATCTGGCACTAAGCCATCTGCCCAAGGACACACTTAGAATAAGTGTGTGTGTGTGTGTGTGTGTGTGTGTGTGTGTGTGTGGGGGGGGGGGGGTGTCCACCCACAGCCCTCTCAGTGGGGGGCGGGCTGGGCAGGTCCGGAGCCAGCCACACAAGTTTGAGCCCAACAGGCAAAGGCCCACAGTTCACTCGTTCGCTTAGTCTTCACCACACCTGCCAGAGGCAAGGCCTGCCTTGGGTGCTGGGAACACAGTGGTAAACAACACACAAAATGCCTTGACATTGTGGTGGGAGAGATACAGCAGATCCCCTGAGATAAGAGAGAGAGCCGAGGGGAAGTCCAGCCTGCTGCATGGTGATAAGTCCTGTGGAGGCGAGCCCGGGAGGGAAGAGACGGGCAGTAAGGTGGGCAGTTCAGTAGGGGGGCCAGGGAAGCCTTTTGGAGCCCCCTCCTCACCCTCCCGGGAAGGACACCCAGCAGAGGGACTAGCAGAGGCATGCTCAGAGGCTCTGACAGCGGCGGGGGGCAGGGGTGGCGGGGGAGTGTGGACGTGGAGGAAGGAGGAGGCCAGTCACAGAGGGCCAGCACCTGGGTTCTTTCCGAGATTTGGGGGTGGGAAGACGGAACATGGGAAGGGTTGAAACACAAGAGTGACTTGATATTTCTAAAGGATCGCTGGCTACTGAGTAGGGAAATGAATACAGTCAGCCCTCTGAACCCATGGATTCAGCCAACCTCAGATGGAAAATATTGGGGGTGGGGGGTGAATCTCAGAAAGTTCCAAAAAGCAAAACTTGAACTTGCCGCACTGAGCAGTACACTGAATCCATGCAAGTGATGTGTAGGCACACCCTGCAAAGACACCACTCACATAAGGGGCTTCAGCATCCTCTGGGGCGCCATCCTGGAATCATCCTCTGAGGAAACCGAGGGACGGCTCTGCGGGGGCGGCAGTGGGAACAGGGAGGCCAGTGAGTTAGGAGTCCAGACAAAAGATGCCGCCTTGGCCCAGGGAGGCAGCGGGAGAGGTAGATACGGAATGTTTGCGGAGTCCGTAGGACTCGCTGGTGCCCTTGGTGGGGTGCCCTGCGTGTGGGTGCGAGGGAGAGGCGTTGAACAGGATTGCAGGGTTTTGCCTAAGATTTGGGAGCTACGGGCAGAGCGGGTTTTGTGGGCAAGGCCAGTTTATTTCTGGGCCTGTTGATTGGAGAGGCCCACGCAGGGGGACATATGAAGTGGGCCCCTGTGCCCAGGGTCAGGAAGTCGGGTTGGAGAGAGACGTGAAGACAGGTCGGCCATACCCAGGCCTTGGCCAGGACCAGAGAGCACAGTCAGGGTTTCAAAGGAAAAGTGGGAGCTCTGGGAAGAGACTCAGCGTGACGGGCGGCTCTCTCCTCAGCCCGGGAGGGCAGCTGAACGCTGACCACCACTGTGCGCCCCTCCCCTCTCGAAGCCAGCCGTGCCAAGGGGACGAAGTGCCAGCCAAAGCACGCCCTTTCCTCTAGCCAACCATGTTCATCTTCGCCGAGGGGCCAAGGAACCAACGCTCACAGGAACAGTTACCGTCTCCCACCCGTCACCTCGCCGGAGCAGCTGGACTTCTGGACCCGCCACGCTGCTCACGGGAGGGGCACCTGCATGTCCCGCGGACCATCCCTCTGGCCACACGGGACCCGCAAGTTACACGTGGAGCCAGCTTCCCGGGGGCTGGGAAGAGCGTGGCGTGAGGGCACCGTGGCCCCTGTAACTGAATGCCCGGCACTGGGGCAGTGGCACCCCATCCCCACATCTAAGCACCGAACAGTACTGGCCTTCATGTCCTTTTTGCTCTGGGTTTGGATCCCAAATCGCTTACTAATGTCCGTTGCTGGGATTCTGTGTGATCGATAAGCTGTGTAATTAACTTATACAGGTGGAGCCATATTTAATGTTCTGCGTTCCAGGGAAGGTTTGTCTATCTTGTCTCCTCTAAGCATTACATGTTCTGACTTCAGCAGACACTTGGGGCGCCCTGGCACTCCTTTCTTCGGGTCTCAGTTCACTGAGGAAGAGATGTGGCCACAGCCACCGCAGGCTACGTGGGCGTGTCCTGTGGACAAAGTGCGTCAGTGCTGCCGAGGGGGAGGGGGCAGGCGCGGGGGGGGGGGGGGGGCGCAGTGGTGTCCCTCGGGTGCCCTGAATGCCTCCTCTGCTCCCGCTCCCTGACTGGGCAGCATGACTGTCTCGGGGGAAGGGCCGAGGCCCAGTGGGACCTTGAGTCAGAAAAGCCACTCAGGGAAAAATGCCGCCTCCTTTCAAAACCTCAGTAAACCTTTTTAGTTTAAGGGCAGCGATTCTCAGTCTGCTTCCTCTGCTTCGTGTACAACCAAGGGAGTGACTCCGCCTCTTGTGTCACAGAAAGGGAGCCTGCGGCCTGGGGACAGGACCGGGCCCCAAAGGCAGCTCCTTCCAGGGCGGCACACCAATTCTTTCCGAGAATTGATGCCACGTTAGGAAATTAGAAAAAACATCTCGAGCGCAGCTGTGGCCATTTGCCCCTTCACACCCTGCAGCCCTGACCTCACAAGCTCAGACCAGGGGGTGTGGCGGGGCCGAGGCTCGGGGTGGGGAGTCCCTCCTGGGTTACAGGTGTGGAAACCCTGATGTCTCTGGGGCCTTTTCCGTGTCTCTTCAGTGTCACTACCCAACACTGTGGGCCGGGCAAGTGACTGCACAGCCTGGGAGGACGGCAGTAAGTGGAAGTGCAGCAGGCCCTCCCCTCCTGCTTCCTCCTGCTCCAGAGGGTCAGGCTGGATGGAGCGAGAGCCGTTTGAAACAAGCCGGGCAGGGAGAAAGCAGATGGGCTCACCCAGCTGTCCCAGCAATACGTGCAGCACGGGCACACACGGCCGCACTGCTGTGGCCCTTCGTCAGGGAAACCACAGGGCAGGAAGAGCCAGCATGTCACACAAGTGTTTTTAATCAAAGCCTTTCACGAGTCCACTAACCACAGGATGAGTGACTCCCATCCCCGCCCTTAACACCATTCTAGCCCTGGCCGGTGTGGCTGTCGGTGGGAGCGCTGTCCTGTGCACTGAAGGGTCACGGATTTGATTCCGTCAGGGCACAGTGGATTCGATCCCTGGTTGGGGTACGTACAGGAAGCTACTAATCGATGTTTCTCTCTCTCCCTTCCTTTCTCTCCAAAATCAATTAAACAAACACACAAACAATGCTATTCTAAAATGGCATCTGGGATTTGCTTCAGAACAATCCGAGTGGGGCGGTAGGAATACAGAGAAAACGAGATAGGCCATGTGTTAGTACAACTGTTAAGATGGGTGATGAGTATGTGAATATCATTCAATGTTATGTACAACTGGTATTTTTCATAATTAAAAAAATAGTATCTTACAAAAAAAGCAATTCTACAGGTTAATATAAAGTTTACTGGGAAATGCCAAATCAACAAGCACTGTACAGACAAGGTGACCTGGCAGTCTCCATGCGCCAAGCCTGCACCATTTTCCTCAGCGACACCTTAAGTCCTTTCTAAAGAGCTCATGGCCCCAGCTGTTGAGTAGTTTTTCTAAATGGTCAGTAAATTACAACAAACCCTGCCCTCACCCCGTGGAACTGACCTCCAGAAAAATTGAGATTCGCTTGTCCCGTCTGTCATCTAAATCACCTTTTCTACTTGTAGGATGCAAGAAGCACGCAGACAGGAAGCTGGCTTTCTTTGCAGACTTGCCCTGCCACATTATTGCTGACAAATTGTACAGTTTTATTAGCTAAAATGCCAACACACACCCAGGTGGGTGCTGTGCCCTGGACATTCTCTGCGGCCTTTCCCCCATCACCATGTCTCAGAGCCTGGGGCTGAATGCAAACACTCTGGAGATGTGTGTAGAAGCACGGGGAAGGCCACGGCATGTTACTAAAAGGCAAGTCCCACTGCCAGTCTGGGCAGCATTCTCTCCCAGAGCAGAAGGCTGTGAGTCCCGACTGTCAGGGACTCTTGTCACCCCATCAATGAGTTCTCCGCTCTAACTGGCCACCGGGGCCATTGTCTTCTGACACAGCCTGGCCAGGAGCCCTGCCATCTGCAGAAGAGAGTTCACACCTTCGGCTATCTTCATATGAGTGTATCCAATTTCCTGAAAAACAAATAAAATTTATATCTGGTTAGTAAGTGAGGGATAGATTTATTTTTTTTAAAATCTGTACTAATGGTTTACTCAAAATTGATGCAATGAATTCTAACTCCAACTAGAAAATGAACTCTAAGTTGTCATGTATTATGTTTAACTAAAGTTCAATTTATTTCCTAAAAGGATATTGGTATTTTTTTGTAAGATACTGTTAAGAAAATAAAAAAGGCGATATTAAAATATTTATATAACACATACCTGAATATACATAAAGAACACTCAAAACTAAGTAATGAGCCCTAGCTGGTTTGGCTCAGTGGATAGAACATCAGCACACAGACTGAAGGGTCCTGGGTTCGATTCTGGTCAAGGGCACGTACCTTAGTCACAGAAGGCAACCAATCGATGTGTATCTCTCACATCAATGTTTCTCTGTCTCTCCCTCTCCCTTCCACTCTAAAAATCAATGGAAAAATATCGTTGGGTGAGGATAAAAAAAACAAACAAAACTTAGCAATGAGAAAACAAATCCAATTAAAAACGGGAGATTTGAACAGATACTTCATCAACGATTGGGGATGGCAAATAAGCACATGAAAAAGTGCTTGACATCATTAGCCACTGGGAAATGCAAATGAAAGCCTCTACAAGCCTATGGCAGTGACTAAAAATCCAACTGAGCATTCCAAGTGCTGGCTGGGATGTGGATCAGCTGAAATGCTCATCACTGTTGACAGGATGCAACATGCTACAGCCACTCTGGAAAAGTTTGGCAGTTTCTTATCAAATTAAACTTAGGCTTACCATTCGACCAAGCAACCGCACCTCCATACAATGGGATACTACTCAGCAATAAAAAGGAAGGGCCCACGGACCCTCACAGCAAACATATGAATAAATACAAAATACATTCAGCTAAGTGAAAAGGCCAGGCTCAAAAGACTATGTTTCTGCTTGATTCCATCTGTATCATATTCTGGAAAATTCTGTCCCCCAAAGAGAAAGCAGATCAGTGGTTTCCAGGTGACAGAGGAAAGGGACACGTAAAGTTGGGGGATTAGAGTTGTGTTTACACGACTGAATGATTTTGTTCACAGAATGCACCTAAGAGGCTGAATTTTCCTCTATGTAAATCATACCTCAATTAATCTGATCTTAAAGATGAATAAACACACAAATCTCTAACGAGAGTCATTGTAAGGAACAGTAGGTCACTGACTGGTAGAATGGGCTTAAACAAACTCCCAGCCCCAGGACAAGGAGCCGCCCGCCTCCGTCAGAGCTGGGGACACTTTCTGAGCATCTTTCTGATGCCAGGCCTGTAAGTGAAACAAAGAGAACCACAGCATGGCCGGAATCCTTGAGGAGAGGCATGGCTATACACTTACTGACCTTAATAAACTCCAGTTTCAAGTATTCTGCCATTTGGAAGGTTTTACACACTCGAAAAATGTTGCCAATGATGTCTTCTGGTGAGTAGCCAAGATGCCACAGGTGAGCGAGAATCTATACAAAAGAGAACATGCTGAGGCTGCTGAACTCCATACATGACAAGGATACTCGGGAAACGAGGTTAAAGCCACACAAGTCTCAGGCTGGTCACACTGCTCATCCTAGAAAACCCAAGCGATTCTGAGAATCAGCTGAGCACCATGGAGCTGGTGGGCCACGCCCTACATATCACGTGGGGATAATCTGATTTTTCCAGCACAGATAATATTGCAGATTTTTTAAATGTATTGCAATGTCTACTACTGTCCCCGAGCCTCTTAAGCACTTTGACAGCCATCCCAGTATACCCTAGAGCAAAAGCAGGAGAACCCTGTCAGGGTGGGGAATGTCCAGCCTGCAGGCCGTTTAAGGCCCACGAAATCATTTGGTCTGGCCCTGCCACGGCAGTAGGGGTGAGCTAATTGTTTGAACAGATATAGCAGGCTACTTTTTAAGTTGATAATTCTGTATGGCCCGTGAATGATGCTATAAATACCCAAATGGACCTCGGCAGAACAAAGGTTCCCCACCCCTGTGGTGTCTGCTGTGCTTTCCCTAGCTACAGGGTCCTACCCACGCCCTGCAAGAGCAGCCCCAACATCCTGACCAGGGCAGGGATTGGAGCAGTGGTCTCGGCCTCCTGCCTTCTCACCACCCCCACTCCACACTACCTGGACTGCAGGGTCTGGAACCACTTGTTTTTGCCTTTGCTTCGGCACCTGGGGTAAATTCAGGGGTTCAGGGGGCAGGGAAGCTCTGTGTGCCTAAATCTGAAGGCTTCCTTCAGGCCCACTCGGTGACCCAATCCGGTACCTGGGTCTCTGCCTCAGTCTCCCTGCCTTGCACTCATTTCACATTAGTTCTAACCCTGCCCTAAACTCAGTCAACTTCCAGCCTGATTTAGTGGGAGCAGGGAAACTGGCTGTGATCAGTCCAATGGCCTCAGATCACACCACTGCCACTCATGTGATTTCAGGGTCACGTGAACCACACGGTGCCCACTGGAACCTGCTCACAGACTCTACAATCAGGCCCAAACCCCCTGGGTTCTCCTCTCCTGGCTGACTGGGGACTGCTGGGTCCAGGATGCTCACTCCCATGATCCTTGGGAGGATGGAGGGAAAACCTCCCCTAACAGAGAAAGACGGCGTCACTGCAAAGTAAGGAGTTAGGCTGGTCTTCCCTCATGTTAGGTGAGCAAATTCCTGATGCAGAGAATGTAACTATAGTACAAAGACATGATTTTGAATTCCAGGTCTCCTACTTTTAAACAGTTGATACAGAGAACGGAATTTAGCCTGTCATGGTTTTCTCATCTGTAGGGTGTACCAACTCCTAGCATCATTGTAAGAATTCAGGGGAGGGATGCACGTAAGCCCCCAGCACAGGGAACTCCCTCAGCCTGCTCAGGAAGAGGAAGGTCCCTCTGGACTCAGGGGAGGCGGAAGAAGCAGACCTTGTAGGCTTCGTCGATATTGGCATTCACACAGTGCTGGATCATCTCCTTCACCAGCAGCGGGTGCGGCTCGTCGCAGACCTGACCAAACCGAAAGGACGGTGAGTCAGCGCTGAGGGACCATCTGCGGAGGACCCTGACACACCAGCTTCTGCGCGATGTAACCAACCTCTGAAACTTTTTTCTCTCATTGAATTCTCCAGCAACAGAACCAGGTTGAGGAAAGCCCTTCGCCATGAAACAAGTCACCAAATAAAAAGAATATGATGTCGACTTACTGTAGTGAGGAAGGCTTCTGACACCAATTCTGCTACCAATTTCTCCAACAGAAGATGAATTAACAAGGGCCACTGAAGAATCTCCACTCAGGGGCAGCATTAAAGCCACTATAAGTCACATCTCAGAGCCCTGGGGTGACCACTTGCCCAGAACCACTTAGAACTCACTAAGACTTGGGAGGTCTCCTGGGCCGGTCTCCCACTGGAATCGCACTGTCTTTCCCGGGACAGGGTCCCAGCCTCTCGTGACCCGAGCAGCCGCCTGCTGAGCCGGTGCAGCTCTCCCTGAGCCCAGAGGCTGCCCCTGCCACTCCCTCCACTGGCCTTGGAGTCCACCCTCTAGCGCAGGCCAACATTAAATCTAAACGACAGCCTTTGATATCTCCAGGCAGTGCCTACCCCTGCCCTTGGCCTTCTCTTCCCAGGTCAATGAACTCCCTCAGGATCCTGGTTTGCAGCCCTCGATGCTTTGCTCCAGGAGGAAATGAGACCTTAACTGTCACAACAGGTGACCAAGCAAGTTCCCCCCAGGGCCCTTGAAAATACCTCACTGCCCAGGTTGAGGCAGAGGCTTTTAGCACAGCTCTCTTTACCCACAATCCAGCCCTACCCAATTTCACCCCCATAAGAGGGGGAAATCAGACTGGGCTGTTGGATGTGGCCATCAGTTTTCAGAAGAATTCCCCGGAAGAAAATCCTGTCATGTGGGAACGAGAATCTTTTGGCTTGACCTTGAGGAGCTCCGATACCCACACCGGGACAGGAAGTGCGGAGGGGAAGTCTCCGGTGGGAGCCAGGCCCGCAGAGGGGGAAGCGCTGGGCTCCCTCCTGGCCCCCAGCGGCTGGATGGTCTCGGACAGGCTGCCTGGGCCTGTTTCCTCGGCCACAAAATGCTGACGAGAGCGCTTGTGCAGGGGTGCTGTGCAGACCAGAGCACCCGGAAAGCACCAGCCTGAGGCAGCAGTGGCAGCACTGGCATGGATCGCACCCTGAGAGAATCCCAAAGTCCCTCCGACTCTCCAGTGAGGGAGTCAGGGGGACACACGGGAGGCAGAGCAAGCTCCCCGGCTCCGAGGGTGAGCCCCAGCGGCAGCACCATGTCCATCCCCTTCCTTCCAGCACCTCCCGCCTCCACTCCACTGGCCCCACAGATAGATACAGTTTCTGTAGACTGTGATGCCCCAGCCAGCTTTTGTACCTTGAACACATTCTCACTGTTAATGAAGCCGAATCCTGAGAAAGTAGACTGCAAGTTGTTCAATGCCTGTTGAGGAGCAAAAACAACCGGGGTGATTTTGTGTCTCGGCCCTTCCCCACCTCTTTAGCTGAGCACCCTCCTTGCAAGCCTGCTCTCAATCAGCCCAAGGCCCCATCAGTTGGGTCAACACTCCCCACTCCGGCTCTGCACAGCCATCACTTCCTTCTTCCCCCTAAAATAAGGGCATGGCAAGCCCAGGAGGTCCATGCCTCCGGGCAGCGACCGCACACACCTGCCGCATGTCTCCCTGGGCGGTGAAGATAATGGCTTCAAGACCATCGTCGGTGTAGGGCACATTCTCCTTCTCGATCACGTTCATTAACCTGGTGAGGACCTGGGCATCGGTCAGCTTTGTGTAGCGGAGGACTGCGCAGCGGGACTGAATGGGCTCTGAATGAGACAGGAAGAGAGTGAGGCTCCCGGCCAAGGATGGCATCGCCCTGCTGGTTCTGTAGTTACTCGGAAGCAGCTGCACAACCTGCACAGCCCAGCCACGCCGGCACCACTCTCTACCCAGCAGGCGCTCACCAGTGACTCGGTATTAGGACTAAATTTCAAAATATTAACCAATAAGCAACAAGAGAGGCCTAAGCCAGCACTGCCTGGGATGTCCGTGGCTGGCCACGGCTTCCAGAAGGGAAAGACCCTTTAACAGAGACACCCACATGCCACAGCCCGCAGTGAGCCAGTGCTGGCCCAGGTGGCCCCCAAATCACTGTGTGTGCTGGGTGGGTCATGGCTTGCTGTTGGGGAGCCCCTCCCCTATCCAAGCATGAGCTCCCAAGGGCAGGGACAGAGCCTCACACAGATCTGTAGCCTCCACTGTGCCTCGTGCAGAGTAGATGATATGTGCACATCTATCAAGTGGATGAGACTTCAAAGAGCAGCTTTCCTAAGAGTTAGTCCACCTCAACTTATCTCAGCGATTTTCAACCTGTTTCATTTCATGGCACACATAAACTAATACTAAAGTTCTGCGGCACACCAAAAATATATTTTTTTGCTGATCTGACCAAAAAAAAGGTATAATTCTGCTTCATTTACACCGGATGGTTACTGTTGTGTTGGCTGTCGTCACTTTTAAAAATATGTTTTTATTGATTTTTCAGAGAGAGAGAGGAAGGGAGAGGTAGAGAGACAGAAACATCAATGAGAGAGGAACACTGATCAGCAGCCTTCTGCACGCCCCCCCACCGGGGGATCGAGCCTGCAATCCGGACATACGCCCTGAACAGAAATCTAACCAGCAACCTCTTGGTGCATGGGTCGACACCCAACCACTGAGCCACAGCAGCTGGGCTGTCATTTTTTTATTTGACAATCGAGGGAAAGAGGTCAGTGTCCCTGACTAACTAGGTAGTGCATGTTTTAAAAAGTCTTACACACCAGATGAAAATTGCTGACTCATCTGAAAGCAGGAAGCCTCACAATGAGCCTTATTAGCATATTTATCAGCACAGACAAGAGAAAGATCAATTAGGAACAGGAATACATATTTTAAGGCAATTAATATTCTAACTTCAATAGAAGTTTCCTCTAGTCAATTTTATCTTTTGAGACACTCCAAAAGCTGAATTCATAGAATTTAAATACACGTCAGAACAAGGCAGCGTGGCCCTCCTCAATGGACACCTATCTCTTAGCGCGCGGCCCCAGGAGTCACAGTGAGACCGGGCTATTAAGTTTCACAAGTTAGCGCTGCAGCAATTTGGTCACAAACCATTTCCTCTAACGCTGAGAAATAAATTCCTTTAGAGATCTCTTTTGTTTGCGATATCTCTTTAAAAATTAAAGTTAATCCAAATGCTGTATGTATCACAAAAATTACTTTCATAAAAAGCAAAGGCCAGAGCTGCCTCCACCAACACATGCAGTTTCAGATCACACAGCCCTGAGCAAAATGCACCGGGGGAGGCCTCTAAACCTAACAGTGCCCCCGCCCTCATAGATTCCCACTGCTAAGGAGACAAGCGCCATGCACACCCCTCAGTCAAAACTTTCTGCAGTTTTCTCCATCACACCACTGATGTCTTGAAGGTAGAGAATGTTTCTCATTAAACTTTGTATGCCCTGCATTAGTGGTACCCGCCACCTGAGACCAGAGTAAATGCTTATTGAGTGAAGAGCTGAATAAATTAATAAACAAATAATGACTATCCTGATAGGGTAAAAGGACATAAAGGATTCCTGGTAACACAAAGAGCCCACCAACTTTGTGGGGGCATCATGATTGATAACCAGTTTGTTTGCAACAGTGCACAATGGCCCCGGGGGAGGGGGGGCCTGTAGGGGAGCAAAGAGAAGGGAGAGTCAGATGGCTGAGCTCACACAGGATGGGGTTAGCAGGGCGGATGTGAGGCAAGGACAGCGGGACAAAAGAGCTGTGAGAAATGGTGAGAGACAGAGAAAGCTGGACTGTGCCTGAAGTCTGCATCAGAACGGGAAGGATGTGAGCCCTGACTGGCTGTGGGTACGTACAGGGGTGCAGGTTCGATCCCCAGCCCCCAGTCTGAACAAGTGTGAGAGGCAACCAAATGATGTGTCTCTCACACTGATATCCCCTCCCCTCCCCCCTCTCTCTCTTTCTCCATACTCCTCCGTTCCATTCTCTCAAAAAAAAAAATCAATGGGAAAAATATCCTGGGGTGAGGATTAACAAAACAATAAGAAAAAGAGAAGGATGTGAAACCAACAGGAATTTGAGATGCTGAAAGGGGGAGAGGGGATAAAACTGTGAGGAAACAAATTGATGGAGGGGGGACTGGAAGAACACATGCCAGGTCAGAGAGAAGACTAACATGTAAGGTTTCACAGGTGAAGCAATTCCTGGCAATAACCAAGTCCGGTGTGCAGACGCAGTGCATGTGCAGTGCTCAGGCCCACAGAAAGTGCAGGAACATGTCTGGAGAGCGGCAGTGACTATGACACTGTGCACAGGATATCAAAATGTCACGTGTGCTTGTGATGGTGCAAGAGGCAGAAAGATGTGGGTTGCCAATCTCAGCTCCTCCACCTGCTTTGTGACCTTGGGCAAATTACTAAACCTCTCTGAGCTCCAGTTTTCTCATCTCTAATGTGGAGCTGATAATACCTCTGCAAACAGTTATATAAGAGTAAATGAAAAAGTTGATTACATGGCATAGTGCTTGGCTCACGTCAGGCAATCACAAAGCCCCTACTCTTCTGTTGCTAAAGAGCCAAAGGAGGACCATGTAGACCGCAGACACCCAGAGCCGACCCTCACCTATGATTTTATCTGAAGCATTGCAAGCAAGAGCAAAGCGAGTTGTTTTGGAGTAGATTTCCATGGTTCTCCTCAAGGCTTGCTGGGCTCCATCAGTCATGCTGAGAAGAAAAATATAAGAGTGCAGTTGGCAACTGTGACCAGAGGCCCTTGGGACACAGATCTCTCCCTAGAGACTGGGAACCCTGACCTCCTCACTGGGCATGCTCAGCCTCTCCTCATGAGCCTGTTTGGGTCTTCCACAGGCAGGTGCACGTGGGCATGGAGCAGAGGCTCTGCGGCCAGGCTGCCTGGCCCACCTGAAGCTCTTTCATCTGCTAGTTTTGGGACCACAGGTACATTATCTGAGCCTCAGTGTCATCACCTATAAGGAGATAATGATACTGTCTACGTCAAAGGGTTGTTGATGACAATTAAATGAGATAATAACATGTAGAGTATCTGGGATAATGTAATGCTTACATATAAGTGCTCAATAAATGTTGGCTATTATTGCTATAATGTTACAGTAAAATAAGTTAAGGTGTAGTGAACTATGTACTATAACATGGCAATTACAATGTCCCGAGCAAGACTATAATAATGTGGAGCACTGCTTTTTATATTAAAAGGAAAAAACAGGATACAAAAATTACCTATATTATGATCTCAACTATGTAAAAATATATAGTGTAGAAAAAGAAAATAAAGCAAGATATTAACAATATTTTCTAAATTTTCTTCAAAGAATATGAGTTACTTTTTTAAAAACGTCATTTAAAACTTTTAATTTAGACCGGTAATGGCTAACATTGTGAATGTACTAAATGTCACCGAATTACACACTAAAATGGTAAGTTTTATGTTATGTGTATTTCACAACAATAAAAAAAAACATTTAAATTATTCATCATGTAAGTGATGCTGGAACAAACATATTAGCTGACTGTCTTAGACAAATGTTTGTAAGTTAATTAAGATGACTTTAGGCCTCAGGCTCCTATTAAATTGCTTTTGAAGATAAGCAAATAGACCACAAAAGTGCAAAGGCAAAGCTTTTTCTCTGGATTTAATAAAGCCAGATAAGAGACTTAGAGATCAAGGTCAAATGTCTGGCAAAGCACTCCACCTGTCTGCTTCATCCAGGATGATGATCTTATGTCGTCCTTTGGGAAGGGTGACTTTCTGCTGGGCGAACATTTTGATTTTGTTTCTCACAACATCAATGCCCCTGAAACAACAAGCCAGAAGTTAACTGTCACCTTCTGAGACAAAATCCATTACCTTCATGGGAACTTTAACCCTCAGACATCATCATGGACCCAATTTTAGTTTTTAAGTTTCCTTTTTGAACAATTCTATTTTCAAGAATTGAAATTTCATTACTTTTATTCCTTTTTGGAGGTTTTCAGAACAAAGAAAAAATTTACTATTTATAATGAGATTCATTTTATCTTGTATTAACCATATGGGTCCACTGAATTATTTTACAATCTCAGATATATTTTAAAGTCTTAGTGTTCTTATTCTTCCTGTATCTTAAAACTGTTCGGTATTTCATCATCCTAGTAATTATTTCATCATTACTCATCAATTATTCCCAACTATGTTAAAAATAACTAAAATAATAAGAAAATGAAAGAATGATGGAATTGCCTAAAAGAATAAAGCAATAGTGAAAGAAAAATACTATTACTATTGTCTCATACTTCATTTTTTGGTGTGTTCTTGAGGTACTGTATTGTCTTTCTAGAAGGCATAAGAGAAGTTCAGATACTCTGTCTTTGCTATCTTTTTTAAAGCTTTCCCTGACCACAACTAAAAAAACATCCAACTTTTCATTTTCCATGCACAATGTCAAAGAAAAAAATTGACAGGAAGATGTTTCATAATTATTAGACAAATCAGAAAATGACTGCAGAGAAGCGAATAGACTCTAGGCCAGCCGTGGGCAAACTACAACCCGCGGGCCGGATCCGGCCCGTTTGAAAGGAATAAAACTAAAAAAAAAAAAAAGACCGTACCCTTTTATGTAATGATGTTTACTTTGAATTTATATTAGTTCACACAAACACTCCATCCATGCTTTTGTTCCGGCCCTCCGGTCCAGTTTAAGAACCCACTGTGGCCCTCGAGTCAAAAAGTTTGCCCACCCCTGCTCTAGACTCTAATGATGGTGAAATTGATCACATAAGCAACATCTCAGACCATGTTTCCTCAGATGCCAAAATCATAGGTGCGTTTTCTCAAACTTAAGAATCAAGGCGTGTGCTCACTTTGGCAACACATATGTGAAAACTGGATGACACAGAGAAGACTAGCATGGCTCCTACACAAGGATGACATGCAAATCTGTGAAATGCTCTATATTTTAAGAATCAGTAAGTCATGGGGATGTGATGTACAGCATAGGGAATCCTATATAATAATAGACAAACATGGTAATTGACCATACCTTCGCTATGCATCCCATTGGCTAATCAGCATGATATGCAAATTAACCACCAACAAAGATGGTGGCTAATTTGCATACAGCAGGCAGGGCAGGACAGCGCAAGCCACCAGCGTGCCGCCATCCAGGGCAGGCCTGGCCCCGCCTTGCCACCGGGGATCTGATCGGCGGGTTCCCCGGCAGCAAGGCAGGCCAGACCCAGAAGCCCCAGAAGCCAAGACAGATTATGAGGGTGAATCAAAAATAAAACCCACTTTAAATATAAAGACACATACAGATTAAAAGTAAATGATTTAAGCTCAGCCTGTTTTGTTCAGTGGATAGAGCATTATCCCGTGGACTGAAGGGTCCCAGGTTCGATTCCAGTCAAGGGCATGTACTTCAGTTGCTGGCTTGATCCCCAGTCCCTATCAGAGCATGTGCAGGAGGCAACCAATCAATGTGTCTCTCCCTTTCCCTTCACTCTCTCTAAAATTCAATGGAAAAATATCCTTGGGTGAAGATTAACAAAAACAAAGTAAATGGATTAAGTAACATTAAAGAGATTATAAGAAAAATATATTCCAAATTTTGTTAGTTGTATAATGGTTATGTTTAAATTATTAACACCTAAGAAATTGGATGAAGGGTACATATAATATGCTGTAGTATTTCATAGTTTTTTTTTACATGTATGAGATTATGAAAAATCTCCTAATTGCTTCTAGCATAATTTATTAAATTGTGCTAAAATTTACAAGGGTTCAATTAAAAAATATCTTAATTCTAAATGATATAATAGAAAATATATAATAGTGCAGTTATAAGCACTTATCTGAAAATAAAAATTTAAAGAAGTGAATTTAAAGAAGGGATTAGCCAAAGAAAATATATGCACAACCCATGGACACAGACAACAGTATAGTGGTGGCCAGAGAGAAGTGGGGGGCAAGAGCTGGGTAGAGGGGGCAAAAGGGGGGAAATAGGGACATCCTATATAATAATAATAAAAGGCTAATATGCACATTGACTGAACGACAGAATGACTGGTTGCTATGATGTGCACTGACCAACAGGGGGCAGATGCTCAATGCAGGAGCTGCCCCCTGGTGGTCAGTGCACTTCCATATGGGAAGTGCCACTCAGCCAGAAGCTGGCTCATGGCTGGCCAGTGCAGTTGTGGTGGCAGGAGCCTCTCCCACCTCCGTGGCAGCACTAAGAATGTCCAACTAACGGTTTAGGCCCGATCCCTTGGGGGCCTAAGCCTTTAGTCGGACATCCCCCGAGGGCTCCCTGGCTGCCAGAAGGATGTCTGACTGCAAGCTTAGGCCTGATCCCATGGGAAGTGGGCCTAAGTCAACAGGTGGACATCCCCCAAGGGGTCCTGGACTGTGAATGGGCGCAGGCTGGGCTGAGGGACACCCCCCCGCCCCCGAGTGCACAAATTATTGTGCACTGGGCCTCTAGTATAGTCAATAATACTGTACAGGGTCAGATGGTGACTAGACTTACCATGGAGATCACTCCATTAGGTGTATAAATTTTAAATAAGGACAAACACTAAATATATTTTCATCTGGCTAGTCACTCAACAGGAAGGACTTCATTCCCCAATATCCTATGATACGAATTTGGACCTTCTGTTTTGATAAAAGAACATATGACAGCACTCTTTCATCTTTTATGTTTGTATACCAACATTTACAGGGTACAGTGTGTAAGTGATCAAAAGCTGAAGGCTGGTTTGTATACAAAGGTGATATAGAAATGCAAAAAAGTCATTGTATTGATCACTCAAATAGGTTTTTATAAACCTAAAATTAAAAATATCTTGCAATTATGGGCTATTCTTTCTTCAACAAAATTATGAGTCACTAAAGTTTTAAAAAATAATGAGTTTGATGATGTAAGTGTAAGAAGAGGTAGTAAGAATCAGCATTGAGAAAATAGATTGATTACAGGCTCATTCATGACAGCTGAAGAGCCGTTAGTTGCATCCCAAGAACATTGCCTGTTTCAAGTCTACATAGATCTTCAAAATTAGGACAATATTAAAGAGCTGAGATCTGCATCCTCAAGGAATAACCAAAGATAGACTTTGCAGACTTTTTATTTAACAAGTTCTCATTTCATAATCCTCTATTTCATGTCTGAAAAGTAAACAAGCACTTCACACCATTAGGATGGCTACTAACAACAACAAACCAAAAAATGTGTCGGCGAGCATGTGGAGAAATTGGAACCCTGAACACTGTTGGTGGGAATGTAAAAGGGTGCAGCTACTATGAAAAACAGCATGGAGGTCCCCCCAAAATTAAACACAGAATTACCAAGTATAATCTAGCAATTCTAAGTATATATCCAAAAGAATTAAAAGCAGGGTCTTAAAGAGATATTTATACACCCATGTCATAGCAGCATTTTCATAATTCACAAATGTCCCGAAGATGAAAGAAGCCCAAGCATCCCTCAGCGGATGAAGGAATAAGCAAACCGTGGTGGTCTGTCCTTACAAAGGGATATCATTCAGGCTTAAAAAGGAAAGAGTCTGGCAGATGCTAGAGTTTGGCTCCTTGGGTGAATCGTGAGGACATATGCTAAGTGAAATAAGCCAGCCACAGAAAGACAAATACTGTATGAAACCACTTAGATGAGGCATCTACAATACAATCAAGTTCATAGATACAGAAAGTAGAATGGTGGTTGCCAGGGGCAGAGGGAGGGGGATGGTACAGAGTTTTAGTTCTGGAAGACAAAAAAGTTCTGGAGATCATCGGCTACACAACAATGTGAATATATTTAACCCTACTGAACTGTGCACTTAAAAATGAGTAAGCTGGCCCTGGCCTGTCGCTCAATTGGTTGGAGCGTCACCCCATACAACAAATGGCTGCGGATTGATTCCCATTCAGGGCACACACCTAGGTTGCGGGTTCAATCCCCAATCAGGGCGCATATGAGAGGCAACCAATCGATGTTTCTCTCTCACAGCGATGTTTTTTTCTCTCTCTCTCTCTCTAAAAAATCAATGAAAATATGGGGGAGGATTAAAAATAAAATGAGCAAGATGGTAAATTTTATATTGTGTATTTTACCACAAATAAAAATAATATTTAAAATTTCCATTAACAAAGTTAAGCCATCAAGTCTAGTGCCTATGATGCCACCTTGATGAGCCAGCAATTCCCATTCTATTTCACTGGGAAGGATTAAAGGAAAACATATAGCTGGCTAGGCAAGCTCCACATACAACACAGAATGGAAAAAAGGCCATTTCTATAACAATTCACAATGCAAAACACTTGCTGCCCTTCAGTCCTAACTCCCAGACGTACCTGTCATTTGAGGCATTGAGTTCCAAAACAGCATCCTTGAGAGCTGGGCCCAGAAGGGCTCGTGCCAAACACAGGATGCTTGTAGTTTTGCCAGTTCCTGGGGGGCCCTAGGAATGAGATCTCCAATGAGTGCTCGAGCCAGCAGAATGAACTTACCATAGCTCCTGATGGACGTTCACCACTTTTCACACTCACCTCCCCCTCGAGCCCTCCACCCCAACCCACAAGCCTCCTGACCAATTTTGGGGAAATGTTTTCCTTTGCAGAGGGCAATGTCAGGGCTCTGCTGGTAACTGGCCTCTCTGAGGAGGAGCTCTGTGCACAAGAAAGCACTCAAGAGGGAAGTGAAAATGAGACTTCAAGACATCACCAGGGCCAGGACTGAGTACTCACAGCAATGATAATATTGGGCACATTCCCTTCTCGAGCAAAGACCTGAAAGAAGAAATGTTCATTAAAAAGTTCATTAACCTATAAACCATAAGAAGCCAAGCCTCCCCAGCCACATAGGCCTGTGTAGTAAACATGGCTACAAAAATCTCCAAATGGATGCCCCATGGAACACTCGCCTCAGCACATTCTAAACCGAATTCGTCATTTCCCCCTACAAACCTGAGGCCCCACCCACATTTCCCCTTCCATGGACTGTCAATGCCATCAACACTACCACCCAAGCCAGGAACCTGGAGGTCACTGTCACCGTTAACAGGGCCTTCCTCCTCACCCCACACAGCACCTTAATTACAAAGATTCAGTCATTCCTAGTCTCTCTGCCGCTCATCACCCCAACCCATTTCCCACGGTAACCACAGCTAATTTTCTCACACACACATTTAATGAAAACATTTTTATCTGATTGAAACCCTTGTATGACTCTTTACTGCTCTCATCATGAAGCCCAAACTCTTTTTCTTTCCTATTTATTTACTTATTTATTTTTATTGAATTTATTGGGCTGACATTGATTAACAAAATTATATAGGTTTCAGGTGTTCAATTCTAAAATACTTCACCTGTATACTATTCTGTTCATCACCCCGAGTCACCATTCATCCCCTATGCTCTCTCCTACCTCCTCCTCCCCTCCTTCCCCTCTGGTAATTACCATGCTGTCGTCTGTGTCTATGTTTTGGTTTTGTCTGTTTGTTTGCTTAATCCTTTCACATTTATAATTTCATTCATATGTGGAATCTCATGGACAAAATAAACCAAGAAACGAAATAGAAACAGACCCACAGACAGAGAACAAACTGACAGCTGTCAGAGAGGAGGTGCGTTGTGGGGCTGGGAGGAAAAAGGTGAAGGGAGCTGGGGATTTTCTGATGTAAATTAAGGCGTGACTAGGCTGGCTTCATAAGGCCCAAACTCTCAAACATGGCTCATGAGGCCCTACCCAATCTGGATCCTGCCCACCTCATGGGCTCATTTCTCACACACCCCAATACATCTACAGCCCTGCTATTAGGAGCTCATGGACCAGAAGCATCAGCATCCCCTGGGAGTGTGTTAGAAATGCAGAATCTGGCCTCACCTCCAGAACTACTGCCCCAGAATCTGCATTTTAACAAAAGCCCCAGGCAATACACATGCCCATTAATGTCTGGAAAGCACTACTCCAATCAGATGGCATCCCACCCAAGAACAAGCTAAGCTTTCTCACCTCAGGGCCTTTGCACATGCTATTCCTGCTACCTCTTCTCTCTCACTCCTCCCCTCCAAGTCTGGCTAACTCCCACTCAAACTTTGGTCTCACTTCTTCCACTTGAGAATAAAGATATTGTGAGGGTTAACTCTTCCCATGTGCTCCCTCAGCACCCTGTCCTCCTCTAGCAGAGTGCTTAGCACATGGCCTGCTGACTTGAATGCTACTCCACTAGACTAAAAATCTTACTCGGGCAGGAATAATATCTATTTATATCAATAGTTCCTAACACTGCACCATAGCTGTCCCAGAAAACATACTCAAATATTTGTAAAATGAATGCATTCGTAAAATAAATAAATACCTTGTTAGCTATTATAGTGTAAGCACAGATTACTACAGAGATTGTCTTTGTCATGACTCAATTAGTTGGGCTTCTAGATTCTGCCTAAAGATGGCTTGGAATTCAAAGCTTGCTTTACTGCTAAACATTTCTGCCTGCCCATTTTGAAGCCAGCTGCCTTGTCACTTAGTCCCTCTAGGCAGAGGTTGGCAAACTATGGTGGGAGGGGCATGAGGGGAGTGGAGGTAATCTAGCTTGAGGCCTGTTTTTGTGATGCCCCTAGCTAAGAATGGCTTTCACATTTTTAAAGGATTGTTGAAAAAATAAACAGAGTATTTGTCAAATATAGTTATACTAGTGGCCTGGTGCACAAATTCATGCACATTGAAAGTAAATTAATTAGAAGAAATATTTTAATATCGCTATTTGTCCTTTCTCTATTATAATAGAAGTGTCAACCAAATTCACGATGACAGATCAAAACACACACATGCGATTGGTGCCAGCGAGAGCTTTATATATGTAAATAAACTTGCTTAATTAGACCTGCTTTCTGATTTAGCTAAACTTTTTCCATTCCAGTGAAGCACACCAACTTCTCTTTCAGGTAATTGTCAGCAATACAGCAGTAAATATCAACATGAAGCACATTATTATTGTAGATCACACAGGGAGAACAAAGGGTAAAATATTTAACTGCAGCAGTGTTTGACTATATTCTGCACAGTGAGAAAACCTTAAGTGACTTTCAAGGTCCACCATTTCTTACTTCTTTTCAGTAGGGTCAAGTTTCTAAGCTTTCTAAATCTCCGTTTCCCGGCTAATGAAAAGGAAATAGGACTCTACTGAGTCTCCTATCTACCTACTACAGGACTTCTGTGAGGATCAAATGAGATGAGGCACGGGAAAACGCTTCACAGACATTTGGTTAAAGTGTGAAATGTTCGCACCCGGCTATGAAGCATGTCATGTTCCTGGGCTGAAGAAACTCCAAGGAGGCTAGTTGCTAGGGAGAGGAAGCCGGGCGTTGCTCCATGACATCGTTACCACAGCAACCGTTTCTGGGCTGGGCTGGGCTGGGCTATGGGCCGCATTTTGTGCCATGGGGTCTCGGCAGCATTGGCTGCAATTTGGTGGGCTGTCGCTCCAGGGTGTTTTGAAAATAAACTATGAATGTTTCCTGTATAATATATGAATGTTTCTGATAAGAAATTCTAAATAGTTAAGAGTACCTGTTGAAAAGATACCAAATAATGGTTTAACTGGACAACCTTAAAATTAGCATAGAGAACAATCCTACGTTATATTTTAGTTATTCAACAAGACTGAGAGATTATATAGTCAGATTATAACATTCTTGTCTACTTTATTCTGTCTGGTTACAAATTTTTTTTTTTTTTTAATATATTTTTTATTGATTTTTTACAGAGAGGAAGGGAGAGAGATAGAGAGTTAGAAACATCGATGAGAGAGAAACATCGATCAGCTGCCTCCTGCACATCTCCTACTGGGGATATGCCCGCAACCCAGGTACATGCCCTTGACCGGAATTGAACCTGGGACCTTTCAGTCCGCAGGCCGACGCTCTATCCACTGAGCCAAACCGGTTTCGGCTACAAATTTTTTTTTAATTTCAATAAAAACATGCATCTTAAATGGGAAAAACAAAACAAAAACAAAAAATGGTCCATGGTGCCGTTTCTCTGTAAATGGCCAGTATGTGTCACGGCAGCTCCTGCGTTGAGCGTCTGCCCCATGGTGGTCAGTGAGTGTCATAGCAACCAGTTGGACACAGCATATTAGTCTTTTACACTATACTAGAGGCCCGGTGCACAAAAATTTGTGCACTCGGAGGGGAGGGGGGGGTCCCTCAGCCTGGCCTGTGCCCTCTCGCAGTCTGGGACCCCTCGGGAGATAACGCCCTGCTGGCTTAGTCCTGCTCCCGGGTGGCAGAGGGCAGGCCTAATCCCTAGGTGCAGCCCCTGGTCGGGCTCAGAGCAGGGCCTTTTGGGGAGTTGGGGCGCCGCCCCCGGTCATGCACAGAGCAGGGCGGATCAGGAGGTTGCGATGCCACCCTCAGTCACGCTCAGGGTAGGGCCGATTGGGGGGTTGGGGCACCGCCCCCTGTCACACTCAAGGCAGGGTCGATGGGGAGGTTGTGGCGCCACACCCTGTCACACACAGAGCAGGGCCGATCAGGGGGTTGGGGAGCTCCTCCCTGTCACGCACAGAGCAGGGCGGATCAGGGGGTTGGGGCGCCGCCCTCTATCACCCACAGAGCAGGGCTGATCAGGGGGTTGGGGCGCCGCCACTGTCACACTCAGGGCAGGGCAGATGGGGAGGTTATGGCTCTACCCCATCACACACAGAGCAGGGCCCGTGGGGTGGGGGGGTTGGGGCGCCACCCTCTATCACCCACAGAGCAGGGCCGATCAGGGGGTTGGGGTGCCGCCACTCTCACACTCAGGGCAGGGCCGATGGGGAGGTTATGGCTCTACCCCGTCACACAGAGTAGGGCCCCTGGGGTGGGGGGGTTGGGGCGCTGCACCCTGTCACACACAGAGCCGCAGGGCGATCAGGGGGTTGGGGAGCTCCCCCCTATCAGGCACAGAGCAGGGCCGATCAGGGGGTTGGGGCACTTTCCCGTCAGGAACAGAGCAGGGCCGATAGGGAGGTTGTGGCCCCGCCTCCTGTCACACACAGAGCCACAGGGCGATCAGGGGGTTTGGGCACTGCCCCCTGTCATGCTGATCCCAGTGCCGGGAGGCCTCGCGGCTCCGCTGATCCCAGTGCTGGGAGGCATATTACCCTTTTACTATATAGAATAGAGGCCTGGTGCATGGGTGGGGGCTGGCTGGTTTGCCCTGAAGGGTGTCCTAGATCAGGGTGGGGGTCCCCACTGGGGTGTGTGGCCAGTCTGGGTGAGGGGCTGAGGGCTGTTTTCAGGCTGGGACTGAAGCTCCCAACCGCTCCTTTTTTCTTTTTTATTCGGGGCCAGCTTTAGCCTGGCTCCAGCTCTGAGGCCTCAGCTGCTGAAAATAGGTATCTGGTTTGTTTAGGTTCTATAATCGAAACTCTGTATCAACTCCAGCTCTGAGATCCTGGGCTCGCTGAAAGCAGGTTTCTGGGGTTTTGTTTAGCTTCTATATTTGTTACAATGTTCAAACTGCAGGCTCAGAGGCCGGCAAGGCAGGCGGGGAACATTGGAGTCCTCCGTCACTGAAGCAAGCAAGCCTCATGTTCAGTTTAAGCTGCCTGGCTGCCGGCCACCATCTTGGCTGGCAGTTAATTTGCATATCACCCTGATTAGCCAATGGGAAGGGTAGCGGTCGTACGCCAATTACCATCTTTCTCTTTTATTAGATAGGATAATATCGATATTTGCAAAAAGCCTATGGTATCTATTAAATTGCCTTTACAGAAAGTTTGCCAACCTTGCCCTTGTCTGATAATGCCTTTTCAATAAGCCAGCCCTTCAAACATCTGAAGTTACCCACCACCTATAGGCATCCCCAAACTGAATGTCTCCTACTCCCTCAACGCTTCTGGATCCGTGGCTTACCCCCATCCCCCACCTTGGCTGTCTTGCTCCAAATGCCGTGAGCTTTATCAAGGCACAATAATGTGGTATAAGTTCATATATATATATATAAATTAAAAAAAAAAAAACACCCACCTCCAGCCGGCTCACAGTGTCTTCATTCCCAACTACTTCATTCAACTTCACTGGTCTATATTTCTCAACCCTGTTTTTAAGAAAATGCATAAAGATGTTGACATAGCTATTTTCATGCTACACAAAAGGAAGCACTAAAGAGCAGCAATCCTCAGCTTTGTCAGGTGATATACATTAAAAAAAATACATCAATTGGCGGCAGGTTTTAAATTTAAGGGGTGCCCAAGTGCCATTTCAAAAGTTAAGTGCATGAGAATTACACACCAGAAGCTCCAAACCCACCACAGCACAGAAATACCTGTTGTTGCTGGAGAAGGGCCAGAGCGGGCCATCTGGACCAATGTGATCCTGTGCAGCAACAGTCTGGCCGTCACAACAGAGATCCAGCACACACAGCACTGACATCATTTTCTTTTCTTTTTAAAAACACTTCACGAATTTGCGTGTCACCCTTGTGCATGGGCCATGCTAATCTTCTCTGTATCGTTCCAATTTTTAGTATATGTGCTGCCGAAGCGAGCACAGTACTGACATCATTTGATCTGACAGATATGGATGTAACTGAGCCTCCTCATGCCTTCCCTGGCAGTTTCTACAGACTTGACAAGCCGCACAGCAGGGCTGGCTAGACAGAAACCACAGGCCTATCTTGTGACCCTATTAGGCTATGTGGAGTGGACAGGCTAGTGGCCTAGTCAGACCAATACTTCTCTCTTGATTTTTAGAGAGAAAGGGAGAGGGACAGAGATAGAAACATAGATGAGAAACATCATTGATTGGCTGCCTCCTGCACGCCCCCACCTCCCTTCCCAGGGGCGGGGGGGAATTGAGCTTGCAAACTGGGTATATACCATGACTGGGAATTGAACCAGTGATCTCTTGGTTCAATCACTGAGCCACACTGGCGGGGCAATGCTTCTCTTTTAAATAAATAAGCAAACTATGCTACAGAGAAAATGACTTTCTTCGGTGAGAATATAAGTGGAAGATATACAATGATTTAACCATCAGGACTTCCTGAGTCCTTTACAACACTCCCTGATTATGCAGGTACTAGTTGTGCTCCAGAAACAGCTGCATGCAAAGAAGCTTGTTTGTCACATACTACAGTAAACAGATAGTTCCCCTCCAAGACCAGCAGATAAAGCATGCTTGTTCCTGTTCATTTATTCTTCAGACTCAGTCCCTTCCAGGTGCCAAGCACTGTGAAAGGAGGTAGAGATCTCAAGGGGAGGAAAGCAGAAGATACAGAGATAAGCAAGACATGGTGATTGCTCTGAAGGGCTTTCCAAATGGCAGGGAGATAAGAGCTTAGCAAGTCCCACTACCGTGCTAGACTTGTTATAGAAACCAAGGGCTGCGAAGCTGAGGGAATCACCACCTGGGACTGTTAGGAGCTGAAATTTGTGCTGGACTGTGAAAAAGGCAAAGATGCTCTTCTTTCAGGGCCTTCATAGCTGCTCCATCTACCTGCAAGGTTTCTCTAGTCACAGGGCTTCCTCCCTGAGTTCAGGTCTTTGCTCAAATGCCATCTCATCAGAGGCCTGCCCCGAACACCACAGCTATTTACTCCACAGCACCTGCTTTTTTACTTTGTCTTTCTCTATCAAATGTAAGCTCCCTGAGAGCCGTTTGTTTTGTATACTCAAGTATCCTAGGTATGTAGTGTTGTGCATGAAAAATATAATGCCAGCCACATGGGTAATTTTAAACTTCCTGGTAGTCACATTACGAAAGGCAAAACAGATGAAGTTAATTTTACTAATATTATTTATGAACCTAATATATTAAAAAATGTTGTCATTCTCAACATGTAGCAACGTAAAAATTACTAATGAGTTCTTCTTAATACTAAGTCCTCAAAAGCCAGGCGTATATTGTGCACTTATAGGCCATCTCAATTCTGACTAGCTTCATTTCCAGGGCTCAACAGACTCATGCGGCTAGTGGCTGGGGGGCTGCACAGCGCAGCTGTACATATTCCAATACATTATACTGCATCCACTTAGGTATCTGCTCTCATCGAGAAGAGGGGCGGGCCTGGCCAGTGCCTGGGCTGGCTGAGCTCTTCCTGTGCACAGAAAAGGTTGCCGGTCCATGGAGTCGGGCACCTACAGAAAGCAACCAACCGACCAACCAACCGAAGTTTCTCTCTCCCCTCCTCTCCCTAAGCAATGTTCTGACCGACACTGCGTTTCCAGGGGGCAGACCGGCCACCCTCGACCCCGGGTGGGCTAAGCGACCCGTGTCCCTCGCCCTCTTCAAATAATCTCCCGGTCACCACACCCTGGAGCCCCCAGCTCCGCTCCAGGCCCCCGATCTTCCGCCCCTGGGTTCCCCCGGGCACGACCCGCCGCTCGCCCACCGACGCTACCAGAGCACCCCTCATTTACGGCCTGGGCCCTCACCACGGCAGCTCGTAGTGGCCGGCGCTGCCGGGGGCCTTGCTGGGGGCCGGGGCAGAGTCCTGGGCCCCGTGCTCGGCCGCCCCACTGCAGCTCTCCTCCACCTCCATGTTCCCGCCGCCTCTTCCCGCCGCCCGAGGCCCCGCCCCATGATGCCATCACGCAAGCCCCGCCCCTGGAAACGCGAGGGACGCCGGGCGCGAGCGGAAGCTGTCTGGCCCCTCTTTCCGCGCCTGCGCGGAGGGCACCGGCTCGGAGTCGGGTTGCGCAAGGCCGCGGTTGCTCTGGGAGACCTGGCGTCCGGCCTGGGAGAGAGAGGACAGCGGGACCCGAGCGCTTTGCCTTCCGAGAAAGCGTGTCGCTCCAGGAAGGGACGTTCGGCGGTTTTGTGTCTTCGTGTGCCTTGTTGGGAGGCCCTCTCCGCGCGACCAGCAGAACAGCTGCGCCAAGGTGGAGAGGAGCATGCTGCCCGTGCGGAGGCAGGTGTCCTGGGTAGTCCATCCAAATGCCTGACCCGGCGGGGGACGGACTGGACTGACGTCCAGTGGTGCCGGGTGGCAGAAAGCCGCCGGCTGGAACCCGCCGGCACCCGGTTTTCCCGATTGCTCAGGATGTCCCGGTGCAGTACCAGCTCCCATTGGGCGGGCTCCTCTCTGCGCCCTGGAACTTGACATTTATTAATGCTGCCTACCGGGTGGGAATTGCTTTCAAGTTGCAGGTGAGGCAGCTGTCCCTCTGTAAGATGCGACTCAATTTCATTTTAGAGAAATAGGTACTTCTTATTCACAATGATTTGAGCACTCTTTTAGGCTGATTTTCTACCTAATTTACTAATCTTTCCTCCCACAGCTCGTGCTATAATAATAATGAGTAATAAATAACAATATGAGTAATAGCCCTAGCTGGTTTGGCTCAGTGGATAGAGTGTTGGCCTGCTGGACTGGAGGGTCCCAGGTTCGATTCTGGTTAGGGGCACATGCTGGAGTTATGGGCTTGATTCCCAGTGGGGGGCGTGTAGGAGGCAGCCGATCAATGATTCTCTCTCATCACTGATGTTTCTATCTCTATCTCCCGCTCCCTTCCTCTCTGAAATCAATAAATACATATTTTAAAAATATATATGAGTAATAATTATCACTTACTATTACTTGAAATCCCTTGGTGGTAGATTAAGGGGGCAGGAGAAAGCAAAGCAGAGAAATCTGACGGATTGGGTAAAATAAAGACACACATACTTCTTTTCCATTGGTGGATAGTTAATAATTTACATTTACAGCACATAGAGGTGATATTGGGGCAATGAGATCACAAGGGTTCTGTGGTCTCAAGCAGTGATGCCAGCAGGTGTGCCCTGAGGGGTCTGGGAAAGAAGATTACGCTGGCATTTTAAGTGTTATCCTAGATGCAAAAAGACGATAGACAGGCTCACTTAAAGACTGATCTTTATCAAGTAAGTGACAGGCCTTGGATGTGACTACCCACCTTAGTTAGGAATTTATGTTGGTTGGTAAGGCCTGCCATGACTTGTCAGGTTTAGTATTTGGCCCTTTTTTAGTCCACAATATGTAACATGTAGACCTTGCCTTCCAGGTGATTGATCAGTCATTCAAGTAAACGTGGGCTCCAGAATCTATATTGTAGGTGATTGTTTTTCTATTTTTTTATTATTTTTAAAATCTTTACCCCAGGGTATGTTCACTGGTTATAGAGAGGGAGGAGGGAAGAGAGAAAGAGAGGGAGAAACACTGATGCAAGAAAGAAACTTGGACCAGTTGCCTCCCCTACACACCCAGGCCAGGTCCGAACGTGCAGCAGCCCTTTGGTGTATGGAACAACGCTCCAACTGAGCCACACTGGCCAGAGCGATTGTTTTTCTATTTTTATTCTTAACATTTTCGTTTTCCTTACCCCTCCCCCCCAAAGCCCTATCCATTATGGAAATTTATTGGGGAAGACAATATTGCTGTTATATTTATTTTTCATCTGTAAATTCCATCTTTCCAACCTGAGTGTTTAGCTCCTTGAGGATAGTACTTACCTCCTAGCTCCTTCCCTTGCGCATAGTTGGGTAGTAAGCGTGGAGCTGATGTCTGCCGATGGCTCCTTCCAGTTATACAGTCAGGCCAGCAAGGTCCCAATTCACAACTGTGTTCTGAGGTGGGACCAGAACATGTGCTTCCTCATTCTTTCGTTATTGCCAATTGGCAGGAACCTCAAATGACTCAAATTCTGAAGCAGTTTGTTTTAATGATGGTAATTATTAAAGTTTCCAGGTTGAGAACTTCCTTGGTGTTTTTCTTCTTCCTTATATGTATATGATTTGGGAAAAGTTCTTGAGGTTAGCTGTCTCTTTCCCGTTCCTCTTTAAACTGATGGAACCATCTTGCATATTTTTAAAAAACATATTTTTTATTGATTTCAGAGAGTGAAAGGGAGAGACACATCCATGATGAGAGAGAATCATTGATTGGCTGCCTCCTGCACGCCCCCCACTGGGGATCTAGCCCCAACCCCCGCATGCCCCAACCAGAAATCGAACCCTGAGCTCCTAGTTCAGTGATGGCGAACCTTTTGAGCTCGGCGTGCCAGCATTTTGAAAAACCCTAACTTAACTCTGGTGCCGTGTCACATATAGAAATTTTTTGATATTTGCAACCATAGTAAAACAAAGACTTATATTTTTGATATTTATTTTATATATTTAAATGCCATTTAACAAAGAAAAATCAACCAAAAAAATGAGTTCACGTGTCACCTCTGAAACGCGTGTCATGGGTTCGCCATCACTGGCCTAGGTCATGTGTTGATGTTCATTCAACCACTGACCCGCACCAGCCAGGCCATCTTGCATAGTTGTAAAACCACTACTCACAGGTCCTTTATTGCTCTGAAGGAGAAAATAACAAATAACAAATTTTTATTGAAATAAACTTTTCTTGAAATGTCTCTTGGTGTTTTTCTCTCGAGATTGTCCCCATGTGGTAATATTACTCACATTTTCCTTACAGTCAGCTATGACACACACACACCTCCCACCACATTCACTGGATGTTTGTGACTAGGAACAAAGCATTTTCAATAAATGTAGAAGACACTGCACAATTCTTTCCCCTTTATGGTTCTTTTCTAAAAACCCGTCTCTACAAGAGGCTTGTTGGCACTCCCAGGACTTGCTTTCAATGATGGGCTTGGAATACCAGGAGGATCAGAGAAGGAGGTGACCTTTGGGGCAGAACTGCACTATCAGGACATTTTTCTCTTCCCTGTACTGAGCCTTCTGTGACTTGGACTTAGGCCCAGACAGAGCTAAGAGCTTCAGAACTCCAGCCTCCCCTAGGCAACACAGCACCCTCTAGGGCCGCACAGCACCCTCTAGGGCCGCACAGCACCCTCTAGGGCAGTGGTTCTCAACCTTCCTATGCCGCGACCCTTTAATACAGTTCCTCATGTTGTGGTGACCCCCAATTTCATTGTTACAAATTGAACATAATTAAAGCATAGTGATTAATCACGAAAACAATATGTAATTATATATGTGTTTTCCGATGGTCTTAGGCGACCCCTGTGAAAGGGTAGTTCGACCCCCAACGGGGTCGCGACCCACAGGTTGAGAACCGCTGCTCTAGGGCCACACAGCACCCCCAGGATCACACAGCACCCTCTAGGGCAGCGGTTATCAACCTGTGGGTTGCGACCCCTTTGGGGGTGGAAAGACCCTTTCACAGGGGTCGCCTAAGACCATCGGAAAACATATATAATTACATATTGTTTTTGTGATTAATTCCTATGCTTTACTTATGTTCAATTTGTCACAATGAAAATACATCCTGCATATCAGATAGTTACATTACGATTCATAACAGTAGCAAAATGACAGTTATGAAGTAGCAACGAAAATGATTTTATGGTTGGGGGTCACCACAACATGAGGAGCTGTATTAAAGGGCCGCGGCATTAGGAAGGTTGAGAACCACTGCTCTAGGGCCACACAGCACCCTCTGAGGGTCAGCCTGCCACTCACACTGTCCCTGCATTTATCACTGACTGGCTGTCTCAGAGCAGAGGTCAGCCCTGCTGTGAGCTCAGGCCACCAGGCCTACCCCCTCAGAACCTCTGCAGTGCGAGGCCCCAACATGTGTCTGGAATCTCAGGGAGATCCGTGCAGACGGGCTTGAAGACTTGGCGGTGCCTCATGAGACTGCATTTCTAACCCGCTCCCACAGAAGCTGACGCTGCTGGTGTCTGAACCACACTTGAAGCGGCAAGAAATTTTAGGACACGAGTAATCCTTCTTGTAGAAGACTAAAACAGAAATGTGTGGCGTGAACCATGAGAGAAAGTTTACCCTGTCCCCCTTACATCCCCTCCACACCGCTGTCCTCCCCACAGGGAGACACAGCTAACACTTGTTGCTTCGGGCAGAGATACAATTTCTCTTTAGATACATGAGATTATATTTTTTTCTTCCACTTTTTTTTTTTTTTGACACGGAGTCAGTGTACATAGATGTCCTTCCTAGTTTAGTGACTACGTGGTACGACTGTACCATCACTCACCTACCCATCCGGTGCAGCTGGACATCTCTGTCCCTTCCTGTTTCTCCCATTCCAGCTGGCTGCGGTGAACATCCTAGTCTGATGTCTGTGCACATGTGTAAACACTTCTGTAGGACAGTTTCTAGAAGCAAATTCTGGGTCAAAGAATGTATACTTCTAAAGCATTGCTAGAAACTGACAAATTGCTCTCCAAAGAGCTTTACAATTTGTACAGAACAGAAAAATGGGCAAATGCACAAGTCACAAAGGAGGGCAACATACATGACATGTAAAAGGTCCACACACGTTAAATAGGTGCTCGTCAAGAAAAGGAAAATTA